ATTGCCAGCTACAATCAACCAGGCAAAGAAAAAAAATTAGCACTATGTCATCAACAGCAGGCGTTCTGACGTGTATGTTTTAGAAGAGGTTAGAATACAATACCATCCAAACAAGATTATTGTAACGGTAGTCTGTGTCTGTTTGTTCTGAAAACCGCTTCGAGCTAGTGTTTATAATCGCTTATTCGCTCTTTCTCAATTATTCGTTTGTGCACATTCGTTTGCCTTGAGATCGTAATGCATAACGAGCAGTTCCATTCATTCGTACAATTCATTCATTCATTCATTCATTCATTCATTCTTCCAACAAGGGACAATGCATACATGCTACCTTCGGCATACACACACACGATATTGTACAATTGCGTACCTCCTTCTTCTTCTTTTTTCTTCTCTCTTTTATTCCTTCTTTTTTTCTCTTACTCGTATGTGTGCTCTATTGTCGTTGAAAATCTTTTCAAAACGCGTATATATATACTGCAAGTACACACACACATACCAATATTGTCACATCTACTTATGTGTCTATAATTTTCTACCACCTTTTTTTTCTTAAGCGTTTATCTCGGTTTATTCATGGTGTTATATACAATCTCTTTTTTTTCTTCTCTTTTATTGTCCATATTTCATGACAGGTAAAACAACTAAGACCTTTTTTTATAGAAATACTTCGTTTTTTTTCTTTTCGAATGTTTAACATAAAAAGTAATAATAGTTTTTTTTTTTTCTTTTGAAACAAAAGAAAGTTTGTCTTATTTATATCATGAGAGTCGAATTAAAATGCTTATAGACATACATAATCTTTCTTTCACTTAAATATATAACAACAACAACATCATCGTCATTTTCGCTTTGTCCTCTCTTTTGCTTTCTTTCTTACTTTGGCTATGTTTATTATTGAATTTCTTTGAGTGGAAGGCAAGCGACAAGAAAGAAGAAAAAAAAATTAAATATTAGACGATGACGAGAAGCGAAACAATGGGTGCTCCCTATGTTATGGCACAGCACGCGTGTGCACGTCTGTCTTCAACTCAGCGGATAATGACATGATGTTGGACAATTGACAATGGAACAAGAAGGCGAGTGAGAAGAGAGGCGAGAGAGAAAACCTGTGAGGTTTTTGTTGCATGCACGCATTATTCAAAAAAAAATATATATATATAAGAAAAGAGGAAACGAAGAAGAAGAAAAAGACGATGAAGAAGAAAGAAGATGCGCCGAAAGAGTACTACCACTAGTAGAGAGAGAGAGGGAAGAAAATCACTGATGTTGATGGTAATAATAAAAGATCTGTTACTGTGACAAGAAGGCAGGTATGTTGATTCTCTTTCTTGTTTCCTCTTATTCCTTATTAGAAGTTATTCGACAATTGACATATTTTCATTCATGTGTACATCCTTGAGGTTGTCAAGTTTTTACACTGACTATTGATCAGTTAAAAAAAACGAAACAAGGATGAAACAGTGATGTACAAATTAGAGTAGTGAAGATCGACTAAAAGTGATTGTTACATATACTCGAAAAATGCACATATGTTGTCTATTCATTGTAACGAATAAATAAAATCGGTAACAATGTTGGTGACGGCTGTTTATTCCGGCTGTCTTTTCAGTAAAAATTACTTTTCTTCTTTTGCTCTCTCTCTCTCTCTCTCTCTCTCTTTATATTTCTCTCCATGACACCTGATGACAAGAGAGGTTTAATAATGGCATTGCTCGACAGACGGATGAAGAGAAGATCGTTGTCTTTCTATTGTTCGTGTTATGCCAAGTCGGAAAAAGAAAAAGAAAAAGAAGAAAAAAAAGAAGAAGAATAAGGTATCTTTCTTCAACTTGAAAAGAAGATGAAAGAAACAATACGAGCGGCATCATCATAGTCTGTCAGGCGATTTTTACTTGAATGCTAGGGCTTATATGTATGTGCGCGAATGAAAGAATGAGTGAGTAGTGCAGTTTATCAATCATGAGTATGTTTTATGTACAAAATCAGTTTGTATGCATATTGTGCATAGAGCAGCGATGATGTGCATTGTGTTCGGTATATGTATATGCATACACTACGGTGCAATTGAATATAGATGATGTGAAGTCGAGCGTAAAAAGGGAAGACAGACAGAGAGAAAAAGAGAAGAGTGTATTGTGTCAGCAGCGGTAAAGAACAAGTCTTGCGCGTCATCGTCGTATTGCGCGCTCGACACACACTCCGAACAATAGATTCTTAATAGAAAAGAAAGGAGAGAGGGAAAAAACGACTACTCACATACACATAATCACAGTACCTAGGTGTATCCACCATCACTTCTACATGCATAACTGCTATTAGTGGTAATAATTTTTCTTTGTGCACTCGATTGACATTCGATTCGTACAGCAACAACAACAACAACAAAAGTAAAGCGTAAGAAATAGAAAAAAAAAGCAAAATTATTTCTCAGCGACAATAACAAACGGACACACATATATAATATTCAATCATCCATTTATTTTACTAGGCAAGAGGCAAATACAAAAGACGTTGTATAACAAGGTAAGCAACTATAGTCTTGTTATCGTATTGAAAGGATTTATGTCTTGACGAATCGAGATGTTCATATTAAATAGTATATACATATATATATCTAATTGTTACTTATGTTTAGTTCTCTGTTGTTTTTTGTTCTAAATGCCTATGTGTGCATATATATATATATATATATGTTTGAACATATCATTAGTGGAAGAACGAGAAGAACAAATTTCATCAATCAAAAATATAAAAGAAAAAACAGTAACATATAACTATTACTATACTATTACTAGTCATAAAAACAATGGGTTGCGATTGTATGTATGTATGTATGTGTGTGTGTGTGACAATATCAATTATGTGAATGAAACTAAAATCCGGGTAGGATGGAATAAGAAAGAAGAGTGTTTTGCGCGCGATAAACATCCGCCGTTTAAACGACGAAATAAGAAAATGTGACATTTTTCATCCGTCTTGGACGGCTTTCACACCCCATTAGCTTCTACCCTGTTGCCTTGTCATTCTCACAGATAGACATACAGGTAATGAATAGAGAGAAGAAAAAAAGGCTCTTGTTTATTGAATATCTAAAAGACACGACATACACACATACATATTACTTATCGTGTTCGATCGTTTGTTCTGTTTCTTTACTCTCGTTCTTTTTTCTTTCTCATACACCTACACATAATTGCAACAACTTTATTATTATTATTATTATTATTATTATTATTTTTAGTCTTTCTTTTTTTTTCTTTCTATCCTTTGGCGAGTGATGTTGTTCACATAAGGTTTCACTTCCCGTGTAAATAATCAATAGTCATTGTCAGTACCATATATAAATATATATATATAAGCCAAACGAGTATTAAAACGTACATAGAATGTTATTCTTACGGTTGTGCATGTGCACACGCCGAACACTTGCATGCAATGCAATATATATATTCAATAAAAGTGTGCATTAGAAGTGTGAAGATTTTTTTTGTATGTCCCTCTCTCTCGTTCTCTTCCTCTCTCTCTCTCTCTCTCTCTCTCTCTCTCTCGTTTCTCTCTTTCTTTACTCGCTTGACTAGATTTGTTTCACTTGATCAGCCTCATATTGTGTCAAGCAACTCGAAGGGAGGAAAAAGAGAAAAAAGAAGATCAATAATAGTCCTAAGTCGACTTTTTTTTTCCTGTCAACTATATCGGTGGACACAGGTAATTAGCGAAAGAGAGAGAGAAAAGATTGAAATCGTTTGACAATTATGCCTGTATCTCGTACAACCAAGGCCAATCATGAAAGCGCATACATATATATCTTCATATACAACGCGGATGATGATGTTGATGTTGATGATGATGATGATGATTCAATTTTCATATATTCAATATAGATATTTGATCGTTTTCTTTTCTACTTGCTTCGTTATTTTACCTTTGATTGTTATTCGTGGACGTTCTTTAACATGTCTATAATCATATTAAATTATTCTATATTCAAACACACGATATATATGAATATATATCGTCATTTTTATTGTCTCTCCTGTCTTCACGGACTGATCCTTGCTTAGCATAATAACCTAGCGCAATGCCACTTTTTTTTCTTCGTCTTCTTTTTCTACTTACTCTTTAACATGAGTTAAGAGGAAACAGAGACAAAACGAACACACATAAGATTTTTCTCTTTTCTTCTACTCTCGTTTTATATTAATAAAAGCGGTTCTCACATATTATAAATTACCCGTCCGAGCAACCGAACAAATCTTTACCTTCAAATCTATCGATTTCAATTGAGAAGAAAAAGAAAAGAGAGCAATAGTAAGGCTTCATTCATTTTCATTCATCAATTGATATAAATGTAGATGAATATATATAAATACACATGTATATATATATATATAAATTATACATGGCAACTATTGCTGTGGCTTTGCATCAATGCATTGATGGTAGCATTATCGTTGTTGTTGTCGTCAGTGAAGATCAACATGACACTTGAATGCGCCGATTAACATTGAGCAAAAGAGAAAAGAGTAAAAGAGATTTTTTCACTAGTTGGTCTCTCTCTCTTTACTCATTTTCCATTGTTCTTTTGTTTCTTACTCTTGTCGTTGAATATGCGTCCAAGAGAAAAAGACTATATATGAATGGAACGCGAGCAGATGCCTCTGTTTTCTTTTGTATATATGTGTGCATGTCTTTCTTTATATACGATTTGAGCTACCGCTGCTATCGACACGCTTTTTTGCAAGTTGAATTTGATCAATGAACTTGATTCGATGAGGCAGCTATTGTCTTTTCTTTTCTCCCTCTCTCTCTCATTGTCTATCTGTTCTATTCTTGTTGTTGTTGTCAGTTAATAGTTGGTGTGACGGTTGACTTGAATAGACACAAACATGATGATATAAATAAGCTCGTTTATCTCAATTTTCTCATATCGAAGACAGTAAAAAAAAAAAAAAGTTTATTTTTTTTAATTTTATTTTTATAGATTATTATATTTATTAATGTCGCTAAAACGTAAGTGTGATTTTGATCAATTTGATTCATCTTCATCAACAGCATCATTGTGTACCGGAGATGGATCAACAACAGCATCATCTATAACAACAAAATATATTAAAACTGAACCACTTCTTCATCGAGTATCATCAAATAATATTTTCTATAACCATAATTCGCCATCCAATGATCATAATGATCGTAAGTTTTTGTATTAATATTTGTCTTTTGCTATTTTTCATTCGTAATGATATAAAAATACCTACCTATCAATTTTGACAGATGTCAATATCAGTAATAGTTCACCTGTATCAAATACCCAAGAATCACATGGTGATCATATTGAATCAAATATTCAAAATAACGAAACAAGCCTACCCACATCACCAACAAACAATAATAATAATAATAATAATGATAATATTAAAATTAGTGAACAATATTCAACTAGTATAATACCTTCAAATGAATCTCATTCAGAAATAAAAGAAACACCATCTGATTTAAACCAACCACAACGAAAACGTCGTAAAAATATTCCATCATCAAAAATATCTCGACCAGCAACATCATCATCATCATCATCAACAATAATATTAAATAATAATATAAAACTTGAAAAAAATATTCCACAATTACCTACAAATCCAATCAAAACAATATCAACAACAAAAACAAATGCAACAATGATATTTAATTTAATACGTTCATTATTAGAAGAAAAACAATTTGATAATAATGATGAAAATTTAATATCAACTATTGATTGTCTTATTAATAGTTTACAACATTTACGTGAAAGAATAAACACAAATGAAACGAATACTAATATTCATAATAATAATAATAATAATAATAATAATAATGAGAAAAATTCTTCATTAAGAAATATTCATAACGATGATACAAGTCCGTTAAATTTATCAAAACCCAAAATAAGACATCAAACACGTTTAGCATCAACAAATAGTGATGATATGAGTCCAAGTACAACAACAGTCAGTTCACCATCACCATCAAATCCAACTCTATCATTAGCATCAACACTTTTTCCTTCACAAGCACTTTTTTATGAGAAACCTTTTTTTCCTCCATTTTCAGGTAAGGTTTCTTTTTATTTTTATTTGAATTCTAAGGAAAAAAACATCGTTTTTATTTTTGAAACTTTTCATTAAGTTCCTAATATGACTCAAATACAAAATTACTTGAAATTATCAGTTGGATCAGTACTTAATGATCCAATAGTATGTTTAAATTAAAATTCTATTATTATTATTATTATTTTGAGTTTTTTTTCTTTATATTTATCTTAAGAATATGAAAAATGGTGAAAATGGTTCTTCGCGATGTTCATTACCACCTCCATTTGTTGCTGGTAAATTAACAAAAGATACTCAAATTTATTTTTTTATGATTTTATTTCTTTTTGATTAGGTCTAAATATGTGTACTTTTCCACCGACATCCAATCATCTTTCACATCATACAAATTTACCAACATCATCACACGAAACAGTAAATATGAATAATAATAATAGCCATCATAATAACAACAACAGTCATCATTATCGCGATTTGTCTGCTGACAAAGATTCGTCATTAGGTGAGTCGAGAGTATTTTTATACTAAAGAAAGAGTCTTTCATTATTGAAAAAAAGAAACGTAAATCGTCCAACCAAATCACATTCCGATTGAGTCGATTGGTAGTGATACGACGAAAAAAAAACGAAATATAACAAAAACAACGAAAGAAAGAAGAAAAAAAAAGACACTAGTCGATTATACACATTTCTAAATGAAAGACGAACGAACAAGCAAGAAAGAAAGAAAGGGTTGTTAATAGAAAAGAAAAGATACAAGGCTGTGATATGCACTCATAATGATGATGAGAATAGTGCTCACATAAACAGACTTGATACTTTCATTAGTTATCATTCTTTATCTTTTTTCTTTTTAATGGATACTAAGACGAGTAAATATAATTTTTTTTATACATATATTTATATCTATCTATGGTTGAATCGTTCGAATATCGAATCTGTTTTTAATTAAATATAAAAACCTTGTTAACCGCGTTAATGAATATTTAATATAAAACCTTGATTTGAAAAAGATTGATAAAACAAATTGAATATTTTACTTATATCAATCGATATAATCATCTATTATTTGTTCAAATAAAATATCCAATATACAATTGAAAGAAAATGAAAAAAAAACGAATATATATTTATATAAACTGAATCAATAAGTTATGCTAATGAACTGTTTTATTTAAGTGAGTGTTAAATCGAATGACAATTGTTATTAAAATATTGTTCGATGTTCATTGTCAAAGAATTGAAATTCAATCGTTGAGTTTCAAATAAAGAAGAGCAAATTAATAAAATTTTCATTGATCTAAATTTTATGTCCATCATACAAAAGAATCTGTTATATTTAACAATTTAATTACATTGATAAACTTCTCTTTTATAGCTCGTCACATATCAACAAATCGAAAAGAACGAAATCATCATCATCATCATCATTCATCATTAAATAGTTTATCAATATTAACAAATACGAATGGAAATAATGAATCAAATTCAACAGGTACAACATCTTCATCATCAGCATCATCTAATGATCATATTAAACGACCAATGAATGCATTTATGGTTTGGGCTCGTGAAGAAAGACGAAAAATTTTAAAAGCATGTCCGGATATGCATAATTCAAGTATAAGTAAAATCTTAGGTGCTCGATGGAAAGCAATGAGTAATGAAGAAAAACAACCATATTATGAAGAACAATCACGTTTAAGTAAAGTTCATATGGAAAAATATCCTGATTATCGATATAGGTACATTTACTTTTAAACTAAAATATTTGGTTTCTTTTTTTTTCAAATTTAATTTATTATTATATTTTTATTTTGTTAGACCACGACCGAAACGGACATGTGTCATCGACGGTAAGAAAATGCGTTGGTAAGTGTTTTGATCTTATCATCTGCTCAATAAATAGTTAAAATATTGAATAAATCTATTTACGATTCTTTTTTTTAACAGGTCAGAATATAAACAAATGCTAAAAAACCGAAAACATAGTCCATTTGATGATCAATCATCACCTGATGGAAATCATTATCTAAGTAAAAATATTTTGTTTCTTGTTCTTTTCTTTTTTTCTTATTATTAACTATAATTATTACTATGTAGGTATAAAAGAAGATGATGATGATGATGTTGTTGATGATGATGAATGTAGTACAGATGGTAGTGACAATTCTCAAAAGGCGCTTATTTTTGCTGATTAATTCATGTGATTTAACGTAATTTAATATAAAACAACAGAAAATATCAGACAGTATTACAAACAGTATTCTCTACTTGTCCGGTCAAGTGTGTTGACAGTTGATTTTCTATTATTTTAGGAAAGAAAAAGAAATTACAGTGAATCTCATTTATTAATTTTTTTTATGAATATTTGTCTAAGTTGGATGTTCGACACCCTTTTTTTTTTTTGCTTCTTGTTTTTTTTCAATGTACATTTGTATGTATGATTGGTTTTACACATTCTATTAATTGCTGTTTTCTATTTGTCATATGTGCGCGTGTGTGGATGCGATTGCCCGGTGCACAATATATCTTTTATGTTCATTATTCATAATCATTTGTTCTTTTTATTGTTCAAAATTCTTCTATTATTTCGTGTCTTTTATTCAAGTTTTGCTGTTTATCTAAATTTGCGTCTGTTTCTTTTCATTTTGCTATAAAAAAAACCAAAATTTTTGTTTTTCATTGAAAATTCTATAGAAGAAAAAAACAAACAAATAAATAAAATTTTTATCAAGTAAATTATGTTTTTAAAATATATATATAATAGTCAATCAAAGTATGATTATTTTTGTACATTAGATAGATCGGTAGTCTTGTTTATCTTTACTTTTTGTATATCTTTTGATGATAACTGAAAAACGCAAATCAATAGAGAAAAGCAAGATTGTATCTATAATTAATAAATAAAGACGAAAGAAAAAAAAAAAAGCCTGATTTGACATAAATTAACTTATAAATTGCTTGTTAGTCATTGAAATGATTTTCTCGATTGGTATTCGGATTAAAATTTCGAAAAAAATAACAAACAAGAAAAGTTATTTTTTTTACATTCATAAAATTCTTAATTAAATGCCAATTATATTGTATGAGAAGAGATTCTTTTTTTTTCACTTTCTTGAATTTCTACATTATTCAATAAGTATGTAAATGAATTTCAATCGTGAACTTGAATATTTACATTATAATAATTGATTTTTTATTGTTATTATTAAAAAATTCTTAATCTTTATCTTTACATATATTAATATTAATTTTCTAAATAATTTACAAATTCTATCAAAAATGATTAATTGAAATTAACTTTTATGACATTTCGATTATTAAATACTGAATATATCTCACAATTTGTCTTCAAATATAATATGGTTTTTGTCAATAGAATAAAGGACAAATTTCAATGATTTTTATTGACATCAGCCTTTTGTCAGTTTATTTACAACAAATGTCAATGGATGTAATTAGTAAACATTTTTGTTTTCTTTATAAAAGCAAATTGTGTCTAAATATAGTATAGATTATATAAGTAATGATGATTAATATATTACAAAGAAATAATCGTATAGTTCAAAGAATATTTTTTGTTATTTATTTATAGAAAATAATTAAAACGCGAAAAGAAAACGCATGGAGTAGAAACAAAATAACATAACTTCAATGCACTTCCGATTTGTCAATTAAATGAAGCTAAAAGTACAGATAATACTTAGTTAGTTTCTATTTTTATATAACTAGTTCAACAAACTTATTTAACGTTATTTTAATTAAATAAAGTTTTGAATTTTTTTCTATATTGTTAATTAAAATAATTTCAAGTTTGATTTATTTAAAACATAATTTGAAAATAGATTAGTTTACAGGGCGTTTGAAGAAAAGAAAAAAATAAGAAAAACTTTCAAACCAATCAAGAGACATCCGTAAGCTTTCTATTATTTAATTCCACGGTTTTTTAAAGGTTAGTTTCGCATGATTTCCTTTGAGCTCATCGTTTAAAATGAATACATTGAGACGACATATAGAAATCAACTGTTTTCAAATATTAAAAAAAATATGACATAAAACCTTCTGCGAAATCATTTTATTTGTGTTACCGATTCTTATTGTGATGTTAACATGAACTTCAGCAGGTTTTTTTCTTGTGTTATTACTCTGAGACGTTAAGAATATGTCTTATCTACTACCATATCAGTTTAATAAAAAAAAAAAAAATCATACTGAGAGTTTTCGTTTAATAATTTTAGATAAATCAAATTTAACCACCAATAGAACAATTTCTAGACTAATATTTGTAGTTAAAATCATTTTATTTGACATCTACTAAATAAAACGTTAATGAGTATGAAATAAAATGATGAAAGAAATGTAAATCAGTTGAGCTCCTGAAGAGTTATTCAAGTTTTATTTTCCGGCCGACTTTTTGGACACCCTGTTGTGTCATCAAATAGATATAAAAAGTGTGTGAAATGGTTGACAGTAAAAATAAAGTACTTGTTAACATCAGGGAATCTGTTATTGAATAAAACTTTATACCAAAAGCATTTGCGAAGAAAGCATCCGAACTGATACCAGTTGTTTTAGTTCACATTGAGTTCATAAGAAAATCTCGGCAAGATTAAAAAAAAAAGGGCAAAAAGGTTTCGTCTCTATAGATCTTTAAAGTCAAGCTATTAGGATATTTTTACTAAATTGTCAACGCATTTTTAAATATTTACTGGAAAAAGCGAATAATGGAATTTTAACAATTTTTGTATCATGCCTGTAGTAAACGATTCTATTTTTGGAATTTCAGAATTTTTTCGATAAAAAAACATTGTTTTAAGCTGAAATTTTTAGGACATGCTACAGATCATTCGATATGCATATTCATCAAATTTCTTGTTGAAATTCTATTTTTTAAGCGTTTGGTGGTGTAGACCTGTGCAGAAAATTACGTAAAATGGTCTTGTTTTGAATCTAAAGATTCATGGCAATTAGCCATTTTAAGTTTTCTTCTAGCCTTCCCAGGACCTTCTTATGCGCCTAATAGGAGCTCAAGCAGCATCTATTAATTCGGATGGTTTCCTTGTTAGCAACCATCCGGCGAACATATCAGTCGACTTCTATTGCCCTCTATCGAAGTTCTTTCTTTCTTTAATTTTATATTATTTAAAAAAAATATATTTTTATGTTTCAAATAAAAAATAAAATCATTTTCTTGTTTTGAAATTCTCGTTCTGAAAATGCATTTTGTTGTTACCATAGGAATAACTGAAAGAGTATGACTCAATGGATAACCGATCAAATACGTTTATTTTTTTGTCAATCACGTAGATCATGAGTAACGATCTTAAATACGTTCTTTTACCAACAATCGAGGATCGACGTCGATCACCAAAATTTCAGCCATGGTATATATATTTTTTTATATTATTCTAATATGATTTAAATCTTTATTTTAAAATTTTAAAATAAACATAGGTCTATAAATGGAAAAGATTTTTCTTTAAAGTGAGGAAACAATTATATAATTAGCTGCTTATGTTCTTCTTAATTGTTGCATTAAATTTATTACAAAAAAAAAAAAAAAAACAATTTCTCATTTATCTTTTTTTTTATCTATTTAATAGGTATCGTGAAAGATTGAAAATGAAATATCCATGTAATATAAATACAAAAAATTGGAAATTTGTTAAAGATGGCCTTGATGATTTTCGTGATGGATTACCACCATCACATGATGATATTATTTTACAAGTAAATTTTTTTCTTAACAAAAAGACAAAAAGTAATTATTCTTATTTCTTGTTTGTTTTTAAAATTAATAGCCAGATAAAGGTCCAGGACCTGTATTAATCTCCGAAAATCGTCGTATAAAAGCAACAGTATCAAATGCACAAACGCGTCTTAAAGAATATCAACTATATTATAGTCGTGAAATTCCAGCAGCAGAAAAACGACGTCAAATGATAGATAATTATATATCAACGATACTTCATCATCCTATGGCATTTTTTGAACATTTTAATCAAACATTATCGCCTGATGTATTAAAGATTAATTCATTTAAATTTCAAAATCAAATTTGTAATTATTTGTTTCATTCTATAGATGTATGAACGACTAACAAAATTACTCGAAGCTGAATTATTACGTTCCGATGATGAAGAACAAACTTCAGTTGTTGATGAAAATAAAGATAATATTTCATTATCACCTAGTGGTCAAATGGCACGGCCAGATACAAGTTGTAGTGAAAAAAGTCTTCCTGATTTAATGACACAAGAAGCCGATAAAACGTTAGATATTCATATTCAATTTGTTTTTTCTTTTTGGTTTAAATATCTATTGGTTTGTTTTGAAAATAGAGTAGTCAATGAATTAACAGATGATTTAATAATAGAAGAAATTGAACCAAAAGATCAATTACCAGAAGAATCAGATAGTAAAAATAATTCAACACGAGTTGGTCGAAGTGGTATTGTTTACGATGAATCAGGTAATCAATGGGATGCTGAAGAATATGAAAAAAAACAAAAAAATCCTTATCGATGGTTTATTGAAAAGCAACGTGAAAAACAACAAGCAAGAGGACCTACTGAAGATGAACAAGCAGCTTCAGCTATGGTTATTTTCTTTGATAGTTTTTAAAATTTATTAAAAATAAAAGATATTTTTTCTTTGTTTTTTTTTCATAGGAAGCACGACTTCATAATGTTTCTGAAAAATTTTGTAATTGGTTATATAGTCTTGGTGGTGAAGCAAATCCTGATATTGATTCAGCTGTTGTTAGAAATTTATTTTCAACAGCTTATGATACAAAACCATCGTTAAGTGTACCAATTAAAATTGTTGAAATGTCAAGAGTTAGTGAATGAATTAGTTAATTTATTATTATTGTGATTCTGAATTTTTCATTAGGTTCCATTTGAATTACGAGATGGCACACAAGATACAATGTTTCCTCCAAGGGAAAGGACAAAATCAAATTTAACAGAAGTGATAATTTTGATTAGTTTTGCATTATAGTTTTTATGAAAGAGTATTGTTAAATTCTAGCGCGTTTTGAAATTTCTACTAATCATAAAATATTAAAAAGAGATTTCTAGAAAATTGAATGCTATTAACATTTTAAAATAAAGATCAAGGAATATTTGATTTTACTATCGTTACATGATTTATTTTCGTTAGTGCAATACAAACAAACGATAGGCTAAATATTTCTATAGCAAGTATCAACCGCGAATTAAATTTGAATCTATCTACTTGTATGCATATGCAGTGTTAATGTAAATATTGATAGCGAGTCATCGACAAAGGATCCGCTAGAACACTGATATCCACGTTTGCAATAATTATATTGATATGTTCCAATACGTCAGTAAAAACAGAGACACTAGTAGACATTAACTACACTGACAAGAGAACCTATCCAGGTGTTAAGTCGATTTTCGATCCAGATGAGGTTAATTTGGTCAGTGCTAGAGAGTAATAGAAGCTTCTAGAGTGATTTAGTTTTCCGGAACTTCGTTCTTGAGATATCGAGATTTTATTGGACTTTTCAACAAAAAGCTATGGTTCCGTAGAAAATCAACTTTCGTCTTAAAATTTACATGAACAAAGCTCTTAATGAGATATGTTGATTGTATAAGTTAAAACTTTTTTATGTTATTTTCTTTCTGAAGATGGAAATTTGCTTTTACACGTTAGAGAATTTTTAATATTCAACATCTCAAGATAGGAGATACTAGACGTTTTACACATCGCATAATGAACAAATCTCATTGAGAATCTTGTTCATGGAAAGTTTGAAATCTAAAATCGATTTTTCACTTAACCTGAAGGGACAACAGCTTTTTATTCAAAAACTCAGTAAAGTTTCTATATCTCAGAAACGAAAGCCTGATAAACTAGACCATTTTAGATTTTTCTATTATTCATTAAAAGAACATCGTTTCAGTCGAAAATCGATTTGACACCTGGAGAAATTGCCTTGTAAGTCGATAGTCAATAAAATCGAATTGAACATTCCTGTCTATTTCATAAAATAGGAGTCCTACACATAGTATTTATTTTATTTCATATAAAACTCTTTCAATTAGATTTCACTAACAAACCAGCTTAAACCGTATGCTTTGATTAATTCCTACACAGCAGTTATATTATAGTAGTAAAAGGTGGTGACAGGAAACTATATAAAATAGAATGATAAATTATTAATCAACCTGTACTAGTACTAGTTTCATTTCAGTGTCTAAAAACTCACCAGATCCTTTTGACTCATCGTATCTACTCAATCGTTGTATTTATAATAAAATTAAAAGCTGAGGACATGATTATCAACTGTTTCCTCTTTAATTTTTTCTTATGATTAAAAAATACAAAAATTTTCTCATTGAATTCCTAGGATGTTAGTCTCAATAGCTCGATTTATCTACCAACAAGTTATTCATCAAAAGCAGTATGAGATAATTCATAGTCGAAAATGAAGTAATCATTTTCATTTCACATACTCTATCCAAAGGTGTCATTGACTTGAATTTCATATTGAATAAATCACATCACATTTCAATATCGTTTAAATTCAAGATAGTTCTGTTTTTTTTTATTAACGTTTGATCACTAATTCAAATCCATATTTCTTATTTCGTAATAAAGTCATTTTCTTTTATTCGATATTTAGTCTAAAAGATCAGCTAGTGCTGCTAAACCAAAAAAAATCGATCCATCTGTAACTAATGATCAAGAATCCTATACACAAAAATATCGATATGGTGCATGGTATTTACCAAAAAATCTTTGGCAACGTTCATTAACAAATGTTGAACTTCGTGATCCTAAAGTAGTTAAAGCTGAACGTGAAGATTTAACACGAAAACGAGAAGAAGAAATTGTAACTAAAAGATTTATAATTAAATTCAATTTACTTCTTTTTTTGTTTTTGAAGAATGCTCGTCTTGCTCCATTACATGGTGTAGATGCATTTAAAGAATATTTACAAGAAAATAATTATCATCGATTACCAAAAGTAATAAATTTTCTTTTTATATAATAACATAAAACAAAATAATCTGTCTTTTGATTAGTTAATAACTGATGTTGAACAATATCGACGTAAACATCCACGTGAAGTAACAAGTTCAACAGTAGAACTTCAAGCTAAACGAACAATAGCTTCAGCACCTTAAATAGCAACGAAATAAAAAGAAAATTGATTTCTCTCTTTCTTTATCTATATATAATTTACTTTCTTTTTTGAAATGATAATTTTAAACATAATTCGAAGACTCAAGAGGAAAAACGTATTTAGATATTCTTTTTTTTCTTAGATTAAAAATTATGACTGATAAACCTGATTCTTATGCCGGCTTTAATGAATACAATCCATTATTAGATACTGATGTGAGTTGAATTTCATGTATTCTGTTATTCTTGTTATGATATAATTATAGAGTTTAAAATATGATACTGATTTACAACAAGCTGTTTTAAAAACCAGTCATGGTCGACGAGCTCCACCGGTAATTTGATGTTTTATTTTATTTAATTTTATTCTAAATACGTTTTCTTTCTCTTTTTAGACTGGTGCTGCTGGTGCAGGCGCTGCCCAAAAAGTAAAGTTTTGTTCAATGGTGTGTGTTTTTCTTATGCATGATGAATTTTCTAGGGTGGATTTTTTTCTCGAGTAAAGAATATTTTTGGTCGACAGAAAAATACTGGTATGCCGGCACCACCAGGTACATCATCTGGTCGATTGGGAACTGCATCACGTGCAGCTCAACAACCGAATAGTGTTATTGGTGCTCCGCCTGGTTCAGCATCACGTCGTCTTCAAACTGGTACAGCAACAGGACAACGACGACCAACAACAGCAGTACAAGGTGCAGGATTTACAACTGGTGCTATAGGTAGTGGTGGAACAGCATCAGGACCTACACAATTTGAAAAAAAAGAAGAAACGTATGTGTCTATATAACAAAATAAATAAGAGATGATTTTCTTTTTTTTTAAGTAATGAAGATAAAGCAAAAAAATTGGAAAGAACAGTATTGGATCTTATTGATGAAAGTTGTTTAGCATATGAAAAAAATGATACAAAATTAGTAAGAACAATAGTTTTTGTGTTTTATTATCTAATTTTCATTTTTTTTTACCTAGGCACTTGAAAAAGCTGAAGAAGCAATGAGAAATGAAAAAAGTCTTAATCGATATCGAGAGGAACAAAATCTTGGAGAATCAGATTTAAGTCTGACTGGATTTGTATGTATCATTTTAAATCAGTACAAAATGATCAAAATTAATTCTCATCATAATCGAAGATCCTCTTCGAGGATCGATGTATCGAATGTTATAGAAGACTATTCCTAATGAATAAATTTCTCCAATGCTTGAAATTTAAAATATGCTTAGACTTTAGAGTTTGAGTCAAGGACGAAAAAAGCATACTTCAGACTTCTTGCATTTTCTGATACCTCTTCTTACTTCTCTAAAGCAGTGTTTTATCAGCACGAAGGTTAGGACAGCGAAGCTCTTTAAGAGATCGAGTTTGCTCTCACGTAATTCGGAATCATGGTGATATATATTATGTGTTTGTCCTCTCAAAACTAGATATTTATCGTTCTGAAGCTGGAATCGCTTAACCGGAAGAGGCAACTTGAATAAAACATTGCTTCAAACTAACTTCTTCAAACTTCATCCTACTTATCCATGTGCTCCTGTAATTGTTATCTCAATGATCTTATAGACATTAACTTCATTTTTCGGTACATTCTTTGATATATCTGTATATTTCAGAAATACAGAAGTATGCTTTATGCTTTCTTGATTTAAGCTGGAAACTTCAAAAGATTATCTCCTCCTGAAGACTTTGTACGTTTGAACTTGATAGAAGCCCCGAGGCGATAAATTTAGGAATCAATTAAATTGAATAGTATTGATTTTAATTTATGCTAAAGAATGAGAAATATATATATATATTTATTAAATTGAATAGGTCATTCTTCATTGTGCTAATATGTTAGCTAAATGTGGTATGAATTCTGAAGCGATGAATCAATATAATTTAATATTAAAAAATAAATTGTTACCTGTACCCAGTCGTTTGTAAGTAGACATATTATTTTCATGAAAAAAAACAAATTATTTCTATTCTTAGACGAATTAACATTGGAAATATTTTCTTACGTTCGAAACAATATACGAAAGCATTAAAAATGTATCGTATGGCACTTGATCAAATACCTGAGCAAAATGCTGATTTAAAGTAAATAAGACAAAAACAAATGCAAATTATTGATTAGATGATAATTCATTGAAAAAAATTAATTTTTTCCTTTCTTAGATTTAAAGTTCGTGAAAATATAGCTGCAACACATATTCTTATGAGTCAATATGCTGAAGCAGCACAAGCTTATGAATCAATAATGCAAGAACGACCAAATTATCGTAGTGGTTTAAATCTTCTTCTTTGTTATCATACATTAGGACAACGTGATAAAACACGTCGAGCATTTAGTGATTTACTTAAAATACCATTTTTAAGTTCTGATGATGATTATCAAGCATCAGTAAAATTAAACAAATAATTATTTATTTGTTTGTTAAAGTCTTTTCTTATTTATTGTAGGTTGATAAAGAAGATAAACATGCAAATCTTGTTTTAGAAGCTACACGAGATGATCGCTTAAGACAATTTGAACGAAAACGGTATAAATTTTTGACTTGTTTTTTTTTTTTAATTCGATTATTTAAACAAAATCTTTTGAAAAGTAAAAAAAAAACATCTATAATTAAATATCAAAGTACTTTTCAATTTTTTTTGTTGATATAAAGCATACAACGTATCTATGAATAAAACTAAGTCAAAGACCTAGTCTTTAAAATAGATTGCTTTGATCAAGAGTTTAATAAATACAAACTTCATATTCAAAACTTGATAGTTCAATTTTTCTGAATTGATTAAATTAATACATATATATAAACGAATTTATTTATTTTAAACAAAGGCAAACCTTTTTTTTTTTTAATTACAATTTAAAATTTTAATCTTTTATTTAGACGACGTTTTGCTGAACATGTTATTGTTACTGCTGCTAAAATCGTTGGTAATAATTCTGATGGAGATTTTGTTGGAGGTTATGAATGGTGCATTGAACAAGTACGAAATTCTACATATCTTGAATTAGCTAGTGGTCTTGAAATTCAAAAAGCCATTGCTTATTTACGTGAAGATAATTTTCCAAAGGTTAGAAAAAAAAAACCGAAAATTAAATAAATTTTTACAAAATATTCTTTTAGGCTATTTCTACATTAAAAGAATTTGAAAAAGCTGAAGCAAAATTAGCAAGTGCAGGTTTGTATTATAATTAGAATAAAAACAGGAATTAATTTATATGGATATAAAATTTGTTTTAGCTGCTACAAATTTATCATTTTTATATTTTTTGGTATGAATAAATTTTATTTACAAAAAAAAAATTGTTTTCTTTTTTTTTAAGGAAAAAGATTTAAATAATGCACATAAATATGCTGATTTAGCTTTAAAAACTGATAAATTTAATCCAGCTTGTATGTGAAAAGAAAAACTTTTCATGTTTTACTTTATTAATTTATTTTGATTCTTTTAAAAGCTTTAACTAATAAAGGCAATTGTTGTTATGCTCAAGAAGATTATGATAAAGCTCGATACTATTATGAAGAAGCTTTGAATATTGATGCAGGTTCTGTTGAAGCTTTACATAATCTTAGTAAGTTTGACAGTTCTTTTGATATCAAAAGAAAAATATTATTCTTTTTTTTTGTCTTAGTTTTAACCTTAATGAAATCTAAACAATATCAACGTGTTAAAGATCTTCTTCATAAATATTCAATAATTCAACCAACAAATGCACAAGTTTGTTGTCTAATGGCTGAAGTATTACAACGTACAAATGATGTTGAACATGCAAAAAGTTGGTTAGTTAAAGAATAAAAAAAAGCACAACTACAAGAAAATTTTATTTTATTATTTTAAATATGAAAAGAAAAATTTAACTTTAGGTATTTACAAGCTTTAAGTACACATCGAATGGATGGACATTTACATCAAAGAATAGGTGAAGTTATTGATTTACAAGGAGATAAATCTGATGCTATACAATATTATTTTGATGTAAGTTTTCTTTAATTTTCTTTATTTTTTACAATACAAAAAAATAAATCACTAAGGCTTTTCGACATAATCCATGTGACATAAAAACATTAGAATGGCTTGCATCATATTATATTGAAACACAATATCCTGAAAAAGCTGTTGAATTTTGTGCACAAGCTGCATTAGTGAAGTGAGTAAAAATTCAAATGAAAATTTGTTTAGAAAAAAGTATTTTTTTTTTTTCATTAGACCAGGAGAAATAAAATGGCATTTAATGGTTGCTTCATGTTATCGTCGTACTGGCGATTATACAGCTGCATTAGAAAAATATAAATGGATTCATCAACATTTTCCAGATGACACTGATTGTAAGATATGAGTCCTATTGCCGCTCGAATATTGATCTTGGACGTGATGTTTTCAGGATATATTCATCAAACGAAGGTCAAAAATAGCTCATCCGAAATTGTCTGTAGAGCCTAGATATACATATCGTCTCTCTCCACAGAAGGGAAGCTCATTGAAGATGCCCTTTGTTCCACAAGCTATCATACTTCAGTTGAGATGAATTTTTTCGTTAATTAATAGAAATAGGTATATTCTCGTATTTTTCATCTATTTGTTTTGCATTGTGTACAAAGTAAACCTCTAGGTTCTCCAGAAAACTCTTATCTCGAGGGTGGGCTTCTGTTCTGTGGAGGGAGGGGGTTATTTAATTTTGTTTTTATTTTAAAGAGTATGACTGGTCTAATGTTTAACAGAGTGCTTTTTTAATCTTATCTTTTATGCAGAGGGAGAGAGTAATCAGCTAAATATCGTGAAAAACTCTTTAGAAAATGGCGATCTATTTATGGAAATGCTTTTTTTATATATAAGAATGATAATAATACTTAATTAAGAAAAATGAACCATGCCAGACATTGCAACTCCAAGTGAACTTTGAAACAAGAAAAAAAAAACCAGGCAATTGGTTACTATGAAATTCTTTTGAATGTTCTAGAATATCCGATTAGAAAAAGTATAAATAGAAAACAAACAAAACAGATGTTTCATTTTTTATTTGTGAAAAGCGGCTTTTGTTTAAGAAGAATGTAACGGAAATAATTACAAAAAAAAATTTTGCAAAACATGAGGTGACAAAGAAAAAAAAATCAGGTTATATGTGAAAGGTCAAATTTCAAAATATAGTCCTATGCACTTATCTTAATTTCGACATTTTATGACGAAAAATGACTTTTTTTTGAGTGAGATCGACCTTAAGAAATTAGAATATCATATCTATTAAACCAGAGATATATAAATAATACTGCGGTTTCAATATAAAAAACACATTTTTTCTATGGTAAAAATTTGTTTTCAATCATATTTTAAACATCTTGCTATCAAAATAGTTGTTCATTGATTTGATATAGTTCCCTGTTTTTTTTTTCTCTTGTAAAGAACTTTTCTTTGCTAGAATGACGTCTATATTAATTAATAACTTTGAAAAATATTTATTAATAATATATTGATTCAAAAAGGTCAAACAAACTTCCACTTCCGATACAACCATATGGATAGAATCGTGTCATCTAATCTAGGTCACGAATAAGCAATACAAAAACAACAGCAGTCTACACTGTTATCGTTGGTACTTCATATAAAATAATTTGCATAGATATTTATGCTTAGCATTATATTTTTAGAAAAAAAAGGAAAAAAAAAGTTTTCGACCCTTAGAAGATTAGTTTATTTATATATGATATAATACTAGCGGAAACCTGTATCATAGGGTAGATCATGAATGTGTTTCTTCCAGTGTCATATGGCACTATATCATATGTATTTTCCTATCATTCATCATTTTTTTTGGCTCTCTCTCTCTGTAGTTCGATTTTCATATGTCAAAGGATATTATTTCAGTTTTAATAATAATCTAAGCTACCAATGATGAAGTACAATATTAATTTTGTCTACTTATCTTATCTAAAGACACGATAAGAATTTCATTCCAGGCTTTTAAAAAAGCTTTATAATAAGATCATAAGACTTGAGAGTTTAATTAAAAAATATCATATTCTAGGCATACAATTTTTGGTTAAAATATCGACTGATCTTGGTTTACCTGAACGTGAAATGTATGAAAATGAATTAAAAAAAGTTAATAAAATGAAAGAAATACAACTTCAAGTGTGTTAATATTATCCTTGATGTAGAAAAATAAAAATTATTGATAAAACTTTTTTATTCTTTAGCGTAAAACAAGTGCTGATAAAAGCAGTAATATTATTAAAGGTCGAAAAATTTCTCAAGTTGAAAATGATGGTAAACAAAGCAATATGGTTCTTGTTGATCTTATTAATACATTTATATTTATTTATTTATTTATTTGAGGTTCCCACTCAAAACATGATGATAATCGTCAATTAAGTGGTCGTAAACGTACTCCTATTGATTTAGTACATACAGAAGGAGTTTTCTCACAACAAGGTTTTTATTATTCAATTTGTTTTTTTTTTGCAAAAATATTTATTTTTTCTAAATTTAGAACCTGTCACTGTTCCTTCATTTGCTGACAATTTTACTCAAGATATGACAGATGGACGACCAAGAACTGCAATACGTAAACAAGAAGCAAATAAAAGTGTATTTGATGAAAATGATGATGCCGCTGAACTTTTGCCTGACTAAAATACTGTTTATTAATTTTTAATAAATTTACAAAGGCTTTTTTCTGATCTTCTTGTTACTTTCATCTGTTTTGCAGCTGATGTTTTTTTTTTCCTTCTCTTTTTTTTTTTGTCACGTTCTTCAAGTACTGTTAACGAGCATCTCTCTAGGCTGAAGATCGGCTGATGCATTACAATGCGCAAAGAGAAAAAAGAGGGTAAAATGTGTTCGTACATCGGTGCTTTTTTTGGTTTTGTAAAATAATACGAGAAGAAAAACAAGAAAAGAGAGAGAGAAAAAGAAAATATGAGGGTAGATAGTTGTGGCGACGACAACATCGGCGGCCTTTTCCTCTTTTTCTCTGTAGCTACGAATTGCCATCGTCAGTATCACAAATAGCAAATAAATGTCAAAGAATCTAAGGTGAGTGGGTCAAAAGATTAGAGAATCGATAAATAATGTTGATGCTAGTAGTATTATATATACATATATATTTTTTGCAAAAAGAACATATCGTGTTTTTTGTTTACTTTTTTTATTCAATATAATTTCAGGTAAAAACAAAACACATTCTTGTCAGTTCATTGATCATAAGGTTATAAAGAAAACAAGAGGTTTGATGTTTTCGATTTTTCTTTCACTATTTATTTAGTTTTTCTTCATAACTCGTCTCGTTCAATTATTTTCGTGTTTTTTCCTATTAAAATTGATTTAGAAAATTAGTCATATTATAATTGAAAGGGTGATATGATAAAATTCGCACAGTCTTCGTTCTATATGATTGAGATTCGTAGAACGCTCTGTTGATCGTGCATATTTTTGTATGCATATGTTCTCTTTACAGAATCATCATTATATTGTCTACAACAGGACGTATGTCTTGTTTCTCTCGGAGTTTTTTCTTTCTCATTCGCATTCTTCCCTTTTCTTGTCCTCGTCAAAAACAATCTCTTTTTTCGTTGTCTATCTGCCTGTCAATCGACACAAACAATCGTAATCTACAGTTGTGAAATCATATTAGGTACTTATCGATAACCACATTTTTTGTAAGGAAAATGCATAACAAGTCGAAATTATTGATTTGACATAGAAATTAGTCAATGATTCGAGTTTTCGATTCAATGAGAAATAGTTGGGAATAACCAATGTAAATGAAATAATAAGAAAGAAAGAAAGAAAAAAAGACCATTTTTTATATTAATGATGTATAAATAATGTTCTATTTGCAGCACATATACAATTTTTCTTATTTTAGTAGTACGTGGAACAAACAATGCGAAGTAGTTCGATAAGTGAAGATATACATATGGACCCTTCCACAGCAAATATGGCTAGTAAGATGACTGTCTCGTCGGCAACATTTGCTGTTGATCGCTCAAATCCTAATTTAGTTTCATCCAATTTTTATTCAAGTCCACCACTTACTTCAACTAGTACTAGTTCAAATAATCGTTATTCCTATACTGACATGATATCACCATCTTCCTCAACATCTTCATCAAATTATAATGATCTACTTCATACATGGCATTATCATAGATTTTTAACATCAACATTAACAGCTGATCATTTGTCAGATAGTTCTTCTAGTGATTATCACTCACATAATGGTTCTTTTCATCAGTATTATCCACATACATTACAGAATTCTTTGCATCAACAAACGCATGATGAAATTCTTTTAAAAAAATTTCATCGTGATACATTAGTTAATTTAGATACAGGTGAATTAAAAAATATTCAACATTTAACAAAGAATGACTTATTAAAAAGTGCAAAACAAAGTCATAAATATTCAAGGTTAATATTATTGCTTTTTTAAATATTATATGTATTAATATATTTATTTATTTATTTATTTATTTATTTAGTCTTTTAGCACGAGTAGATTATATTGGTTCGGTTGATAAATCAACTGGTAGAGTCGAATTACGTTTTTATATTGAAGATATTGGAAAAACAGTAATTTATTTTTATGAATCAACGAAAACCAAAAGAATTATGAAATGTAATTTGTTTTTTTTTAGGCTTCTTGTTATGTTTTACAAGCTATACCATTTTTTGTTCATCAATATTCATGTTGGTCATCTATATCACCCGAACATACACATCGTCAATGTGGTTTAAAATGTCGTCAATTAGAATGTGGTGATATAATAATAGCTATAACTGAACAACAAAAGTCTTCATCATCATCGACAATAAATGATAAACCTGATTACAATCAATCGTCATCAACAAAATGTGTAGCTGGACGATACATGAATGGACAAATATCTTCATCAAATAAACGTTATAAAGCATCTAATGAATAAAAATTTTGAAACGGAGTAAAATATTTTCTTTTGCTTTCTTATTATTAGATGTGAAATTGAATCGCTTTTGTCATGTACTACGCTTGGACGCGTCTAAATGTCCTTTTATGATTTGCTCTAACGCACATACATATATATATAGATATATATATTTCTTATTTCTATTTCTCCTCTCTTAAAGAATAGTAAACAAGTTTCTATTTTCTATTGTATACCTTGATCCCTTCATAGACTAAGTATTTGTGTCCAAGATTTATTTATTTCTCATATACCGGTGTCTTTGTTTTTGTTGTCTTTCTATTGTGAGTTTAATTTATCATCGATATTCATTTTATTCTCTTATAATATTCGTGTGATAAAGTCATCTGTCGCTGGTCTTTTAAACTTTCATTTTCTTTTGCTATTGATCTTATCTATATTGAAGAAGTAGAAAAAAAAACAAAGTATTTAGTTTAAACTAGTTAATATTATTGTTCTTATGAAATAAGTTAAAAATGTAATTTCACTTGTTGTATTTCTTTTCCTGTATTCATGTTTGAAGAAACAAATAAATGCTTTATATATTTGAAATAATGATGCAATCAGTAAAAATTTGAAAAACTTAGAAATAAGATAATTCCGTATAAGTATGAAATAAGATGAAAAAAAAATTTGGATAGAATTAATTAGTTTTCGTCATTAGACTATTTTATATTGTTAGTTATTTATATTCCAATGCTTGAACATAGCTCATTATATATATATTTTTATTGCTAATGACATAGCACCTTCAGATAGACAATATCAAGTTGTTTTCTATGATTAAATGATAAATGGTTGTCTTATTACGACAAGTTTGTATGTCAAGTAATTTAATACATGAATGCGTGAAAGATTTTCTTGAAAATTACACTTATAATTGCTTGAAAATATTGTTGTTGTCAGTTCATCTCTGTATCAACTGAATAAAGTTTATGCTCTTGCGATCATTTTCTTTTGTATTGAATACATATTAAAATTCTCATGTACTTGAAAACTTAGTGTACTTTTTTTCTTTCTATTATGAAAATATTTTTCTTCTTATTATGCTTTTATTATTTCAATGAAAAGAATTATAAAGTAAATTAGATTTCTTATTTTCATGTGTATATGTTTTCTAATCTACTTAGACTTAATTGTAACTTAAATAAAATCGATTGAGTATATTTTTCATCTTAGAAACTTGTTAAATTCAATTGACACCGATGATATTTTTTATTATTGAAGAGAACTTTTTTGTTTTAAATTTTCTTCTTTGAAATGTTTGAAGAATTTCAATATTCTATTTTTATCTAAGTACTTGTATTTTTCTTTCAAATAACAAATCAAAAATTTATTACTTTTGATAGAAGAATGGATAATTTAACTCGAAGGTATTGGATATATCCGGGTCAAATGAAAGATCTTATCGGTAAACTAACATATTTAAATTAATGAACTCCTTATCATCTGTACGGACGAAAATATTCCAATGGTAAAGAATTTATAATATGTGCAATGTGCTAACAAATAAAAATTTGACTAGAATTTCTTTTTTTGATCATAGTTGGATAGAGCTCGTCGAGTTGCACAAGCGAAAATGAATTGCAAATGCACAAAAAAATATTTTAAGAGACCAATATACACCTTTATTATTTTCAAATAAAGAAAAAGTAGATCGAAAATTCTGATTTTCGTCAAATTTATTTTTCTATATGAGAAACTTACATTTGTAATTTCAATGAGCTTTATTCAACCAAGATAAAAAAAGTAACATTAATGCTATTAAAATTTTCAATTATTGCCATACTCTATACGCTATAAATACTATTCAATCCGAATGTTTCAATCCGTTCATATCATAAGCAGCTTATATTTAAAGTTTGTTAGTTTGTTGGTGAGACTTTTAATTTGACCTGAATATGTGCAATGTTCTTAAGTTATAATAACACACTTTTCTATTGTTAGTTATTAAATACAAATTCTTATGACATTTTAGAAATATTTTGACAAATCTAAACTTAATTTGAATCATTGATATATGAATGTTCATGATAAGAAAGAAAGAATAAACATTTATGGTGTATATATATTCAATTTTCGTTTGTTTTTATGTGCTTATCGGCAAAGAAAAAAGAAACTAAAAAAGCAACAATATCAAAATACAAACGAAAAATGATGATGATGATGATGATGATGGTAATAATAGTTTATTTATTTTATTTTATTTTTCTTTTAATTGAGACAAATGATATTTAAATGTCTCATGCCAATAATACACAAGCACCGCCGGCAGCTTTTATTTTTTCTTCAGCTCGTCGTGAGAAAAATTTTGCCTTAACAATAAGTGGTTGTTTAGGTAAAAGACCTTTGCCTAACACCTTAAAATAACCTGATCGTACAACATTGACAACAGGTACAACAGTAGATTCGCCTTCAGTATATTTTTCTTGTGAACGTTGACTTAATAATGACCATAAACGATCAAGATTAACAGATGGACACCATCGACGATTTTTAAGTTTATGAAATTCCCGTTGACCAACTTTACCAAAATAACCCGGATGATATTTATCAAATAATGTACGATGATGATGGAGACCACCAGCATTACCACGACCACCTGGATGTTTACGATGTTTACCAACACGACCATGACCATGTGAGACATTACCTTAAAGTATATGTTTGTTTGTTTTATTTTTTAGTAGAAAAATTTATTAAAATATTTAAATTAACATACCACGTAATTTGGTTTTTTTTGGTTTTTTATTTAATCGAGAATTGCGTGCTGAACCACGTGCTGCCATTTTGTTGTTGCAAGAGAACTAGTAGACGTATAATCTGAAAATAAAATTTTAATTTTTTCTTTCTTTTCAATGATAGATTCTGATATCCTTATTAAACTATGTTATGTCTCGTGCTATAAAATATCATTTCCATTACCTAATAGAAAGAAAAAAGTTTAAATTATTTTACTCATAATCGATTTTTATATGGAAAGGAATAAAGATTTAGAAAAAAACATAAGAATAGTTAGTAATGAACGAATCGATAATGAATTTAAGTTTTTACGAAAAAAAAAAAAACATGGACATCAATAAATACAACAACCAACCAACATTGAATAGACCAATCAAAATCTAATCATTCGTCCATAAGGTCCTTTTTTTTAGAAATTTATATTTATAAAAAAAATTCCATAGGAAAATTTTTTCTATTAAAATTTGAAAATAAAAAAATATGAATGAACTAAGCTTCTAGTGAAATATCAAACAGCGACATTTTATTTTATTGGCTATCAAACAATAATAACCATTTTTGCTATTTACTTGGAACCTAGCGCTACCTAACCGAGAAATATTTCTTGTTTACGAACTGTTTCCTAACAATTTTTTTTATTATCTATTCATAGTTAATAATAATTGGCAAAGTTGATTTGTAAATAATTCTTATCTATAATATTGTTTTAATAGTAATGCTTTTCATTGAGATATAGTATATTTTTAATTTCTCTTATTATGTTGAATCTATCAATATATTTGATATCAATGAAAACTATTTTTAGATTTTTCTATTTAATAAATATGAGTGCATTATCAGATGATCGTGATCCAACAGAAGGTTTGTTATTTAAATATATGAATTTTTTATCTTCTCAAAGTATAAAATTTCTTAGGTGAAGATGAACGTGATCGTAAACGAAAATTATTTTCAACAAAAACAAATCCATCGAAAGAAAAAAGTAGTACATTATTAATTAATAATGAAACAAATGAAGAATCTTTAACAACTGCACAAGATTTTAAAAGTCTTTTAAGACCAAAGAAAAAAAATGGTTTTAAATTAATTAAAACAAAAACTAAAGTGACATCAGAACAAAAAGAAAGACGATCAAGTAAAATATTTCTTAAAAAATTATTTAGAGAAATATTAAACTGTTTTCTTTTAGGTTTAAAAGATGAAAAACGAAAATCAAAAGCAAATCGTGATAGTGTTGCAAGTACAGCTGGTTAGTTAAAACTCTATTGACAAAAATAAAAGTTTTTGACTAGATGATTATAAAAAAAAGTATTACAGGTCAAAGTTCATTTCGTACACTAAGATCAATATGCTAGATACATATATCTACTTGATTTATCAATGATTAGAATATTAATTTGATAGAGAGATTGTGCATTGTTGATGTAAATACTGACAACAAGTCACCAACATAGAAATCACTCGAGCGATTATAATAGCTTTCTGTCATGAGACAAGGTTTTTTCATTCATGTTCCTTTTCTAGGTGTTTTCGACTCGGTGTGGGGGGGGGGGGGGGTGGTTCACAGGTATCCGTTACATCCTCTCTTGCTAGCTACAATTCTGCACTTGTGTAAGTGTGCATTGAGTCGAAAATCAATAAACTAAAATAACATAGTCGTAATCTAGTTGAAAAATCAAATCAAATGTTTAAATTATACATAATCAAGTGTTTTTTATATAAATTTTTCATTAGAATATCTTGTACTCAATGTACCGATGTTTAGTCTTTGAACAACAGACAGAATGGCTACGATAGGATGACTTCCTGTTGCTGAGTGACATTCATCAAAGGTTTGATTTTTTTGTTTTGTTTTTAGTAAAACTTTCAAAATTGAAGTACGCTCAATATAGATTTCGAACATTTTTGTTGTACTGTTTAGACTCTTCGTTGATGAGGTTTTATTCACATTTGTGAGTCTAAAAAATTCATCAAAGTACATAAAAGTATGAAATAAATGATTCCTCTTTGAATATCTAGAGTTTCAGGACAAAATTCAGATATTTCTTCCTTACCGGAACTTCATGCAGTCTTTTTTTTTCTATCCTATTCAATAGAATCTTGCTTTGAAATTTTATTCAGAATTACAAGTAGACGAAGCATTCTTATAGTCATAGAACGTGATTATCAGAATGCGTTTTCATAGATAGAAAAAGTACAAGTTCTTGTTAATGAAGTTTTTCATTCATAAACTACATGTTAAGATAATCAATGTGTTTTCATATTTGGAAAAAAAAACTATCTTATAAAATTTCTTCTAGGTTTAGTTGAACAACTTCGTCTTATAATGGGTTTATCATTAGAAGAAGCAACTAAACATAATCCATTACAAAATGATGATCTTGCTGTACCACGATTTTTAGTCGATTGTATTAATATTATTGAACAAGGTATATATTTGAATCTATTTGTTTGCCTTATTTATTTATTTCTTATATATATACATATAAAAGCTCATCCACAAGATAGTGTTTATCGACAAGAACCAGTAAAAATCAAACAACCAGCTGATCTTGAGAATGCTTTAAAACAACCATTAACACCAGTATTTGCTGTTAGTTTACTTAAACGTTTTCTTAAAGAATTACCCGAACAATTAATACCAACAGAATTAAATAGTGCAATATTTAAAATTATTAATGATCCAAGTAATTAAAAACAAAATGCTTTTTTTTTCTTGATAAATATTTCATAAGAGATTTTTTCTTTTTTTGTTAGATCCTGATTTAAATCGATTTATTGAAATTCGAAATCTTATACAAAAATTTCCTAAATCAAATCGAGATACAATGCGTTTATTATTTCTACATTTTCATGATATAATACATCAATCACATACAATGTCACCAACTCAAACATCATCATCAAAAAGTAGTGAATCATCATTTATACCTGTTACTATAGCAACATTAATTAAAAGTAAAGAACGTACGATTAAATATTTAATTCAACATGCAACAGATATTTTCGAACGACCACAAACATCATCGACATCTCGGTATATTTTTTTTAATAAATTTTAAAAAAAAAGAATTATAAATTTTTTGTTTATTTAGAGTATCATTAATTAAAAATGTTTCACGTTCTTCACTTCATTCTGAAACAATTGAGTAAATATATATATATATATATATGTAATGAATTAGAATTAATCGAAGATTTTTCTTTTTTTTTGTTATTCAGAGAATTAGAAGCCGAATTAGTTAAACAAGAAGCATTATTAAATAAAATGCATGAAGAAATGCAAAAATCTCAACCGTCTTCATCAACATATGGAACAACGACACCAACAAATATCGATAAAGATAAAGAAGAACAATTATGGACTCAACAAAGACTTGTTACAGCACTTAAACGAAAGGTATTTCAACAAAAAAAAATAAAAAATAAATGATTTCTTACAATACATGTTCTATTCGTATTGTTGAAAAAAAAATTATCAATTTGGATTTGTAGTTAAATAAAACAACATAAGTAATATACCGAGAAAATCTCAGTGATAACTATCGGAACCAAATAAACTTTGGAAAACCAAAATTTGTCATATTTAGAGAGATATGTGAAGCCAACTTTTATTTTTGTTCCTAATCATTGTATGAGATTCATAGAGAATTGTCTAACTATTACAGCCTACAGTAATAGTTTTAAATCGTTTGATATCATTGATGGAAAGTCTCGAACATATTTCTGTACTAGAATTGATAGTATGACGTTAACATACACTTACGGAAGTGAATAATAATAGTTAATATTTTTCCGATAAACAATTATTTTATTCTAACTTCAATTAGTAATGAAATATTTTTGATAATATCCTAATCTTCTATTCGGTTTTCCCTATTTACAGATTAAACAAGAAACTCGTCGTTTACAACAGAATCGTCTCTCATCATTTCTTGAACATTCAGCATCGACGGCTGCTAGTGTATCTGTTCCGGAATCAAGTAATTATTTATTATCAATATAAAGGAAAACAAATAATTTGATTTGTTTCTTTCTTTCTTTTCTTTTCTTTTAGCTTCATCTCATCAACCAGAAGTTATTTTAATTGTTAATAAACGAGAAGAAACATCAAAAACTCAACAAATACCTGGATCAAACGAGGAAATTCCTAAAGTATCAACTGTTCCAATAAGTCCAAAACCTATTCGACAACGTGAACAAAGTGGTGTCGAAACTGATGATGATGAATTACTTGGACAAATACAAAAAATTTTTGAGAATAATGCTGGTATAGCAGAAGAAGAATTATTAAGGGAAAAAATTACTGAAGCTCGTCTTCTTGCTCGATGTAAAATTTTCTTTTCATTAAATATATTTTGTTGTTATTTTTTGTTTTAAATAGTAAAAACAATTTATAAATTATTTATGAATGAAAAAGAAAATTTAACAAAATTAGAACATCTAATGAATGAAAAATCATCAGATGTATCTATTGTAACTCCAACAACGGCAATAACATCAGAAAATGATTTATCATCTAATCAAACTGTAGATATTTTACAAGAACTATTAAATACAATTAAACAAAATAATCAATTAGAGGTATTAGATAATGTTTAATTAATAATTATTCATGAACTTTATTTCTCTTGTTTGAAAATTTATCAAAATAAGTTTATTAAACAGAAAAAAAATGCATTAAGATGATCTGTATAGTGAAATTGTGATATTCAAAGATTTCAATTCACAGACTTTTGAGTGATATTTTAACTAACAAGAAATTTGTTTCTGATAACGAAGAAACTTCTTCATAGGTCAAAACCTTTTTCGACTGAGACAATTTTTACTGGACGAGTAATAAAAAATTCTAGAATGATTTGGTTTTCGGAGCCTTTGTTCTTGAGATGCAGAAATTTTTACTGAACTTGTCAACAAAAAATTTATGGTCACGTGAAAAAAATAGATTTTCGACTTCAAATATTGCACAAAAAATTTTCTCAATAAAATTTGGCTCATTGAGCAAGTTGCAACTTTCCTGGTATTTCCTATCTTCAGATATAAAATATTTGAAATTTTCTCCTGTATAAAATCAAACCATTCTAGACTTTTTATTTGCTTCTTAACACATTAAATTAACACTGTCTTAGTCGAAAAACGATTTAATATTTGGAGATGTTTCTTCGTCAGTTCAATAGCTTCGTAAATACAATAGATTTCGATGAAGAAAGCTTCTGATAAGTCTTCGGTTTAATTTTTAAGAAAAGTTTATTTTAATAGAAAATATTTTTTAATCTTAACATTATTTTCATTGCTTTTTTCTTTGTTTTCTAGACGAAAATCGAAGCAATTAAACGAAATATTGATAATGAAAATGAACGTATTGAAGAATTGTGTATTGAATTACGTTTTGGAAGATTGTCTAGCAAAGTTCATCTTCAAAATAATACAAATTCCTCACAATCACCATCAAATCAATCTGCTGCTACACTTGTTCAAGTGACTAAATTATAACATCTTGTGAATATATAGCACTTGAAAAATAGTAATCAACATAAATATAAAAGTGCTTATTTTAACTCCAAATCAATTTTTGTTGTTTTTTTTTTCTTTTGTTTCTTAACCAGAATCGTTTAGGTTTCCACTATGAAAGTCTATTTTTCGTGTATGTTTAACTTTGTATAGAAAACAAGAAAAAAACAGAAAAGAAAGTTGCTGTTGTTTTTTTTCTCTTTTGACTGTTAGTCACTTTTCTTTATTTATATAAGTATATATATATGTACGATATGTATGTATATATTTAGTGTAATCGGGTATATTTACATTTTTTGTCTTTTGTTTTTTTTTTGGGAAAGGTAAATAAAAGTATTTCTATCTTATACATATATATGAAAAAATATATTCTAGATGATTGCAGCATTTCTTAATCGTTTTCGTTTTTCAAATTTAATTAGAAATCAAACTACTCTCAATCTATTTCGATATAGTAATATTAATGCATCATCATCATCATCAAAGACAGAGGATGAAATGAAATTAAATGATATTTTAAAAAAACGTTTTCCTAATGCTCGTCTTATTGATGTTAAAGATACTTCAGGTAAATATATGATTTATTTTATTAAAAAAATTAAAATTTTACAAACGAAAAAAGATATGTTTGTAAGAACTTAAAAAGAAATCTGGGTCTATTACATACAATATTGAAGTCTATTTGAGCTAAGAGAAAATTTTAATAACTTCAATAGGTACAAAAAAGAAGAAGAAGATGATGAGTAGCATCAATAAAAAAAGTATGAGAATTGAATAATTGATATGAACTTTGATAGTTAGAGGAACTCCGTTACATACTTATGTTCAACTTGATGCCAAAAGATATGTATTATTATGAAAATCAAACAAGAATTTTACTCAGATATAAATGAGACAGCCATTCCAAACCCAATAAACATAGATAAATTTATGCTGATGCTCAAAAGTGTTTTAACTGTTAGGATCAATTCTCAACTAGATGAAGTCACTAATTTGAAATTCAAGACATATCAGTGTGTTAATAAAGAAAACCTCATTTATTGAGCTAGAATAGTATATCAAAAAAGAGCTTATTATAAATACATCTAATCTTATCATATAATTCTTTTGCATAGAAAAAAATAAGTCATTATGTATATATATAATCCTAACATAAATTTAGTATTAACAATAATTACAAACTTCATTTTGACTATATATATCATAAAAGGTAATTTTAAAGAATTAATGATGAAAAATAACAATTACAAAACTAAAGATTCGATTTTATCAATAATTTTGTTTTTTTTTTCTATTATGCTTTTTTTTTGTAGCTGGTTGTGGTGCAAGTTTTGAAGTAATTGTCGTAAGTGATGAATTTGCCAATATGCGTATGGTTAATCAACATCGTTTAGTATCTGAAGCACTTAATAAACAATTACGAAATATTCATGCAATTCGAATATTTACTGGAACAAATGAAAAAGAATTCGTGGATTCCTGATGTATATATATCTATTCGGATTTTTTTAAATATCAACAAATAAAAAACTAATCTTTTTGTTTTCCGTATAAGTTATCATAATGCATGCTCATAATAAGTTCTTGTCATAGGATATTTATGAGCATTTTCATATGGAGGTGGTGCATAACATTCTTCATAGATATGACTAGATAATGTATCTGTTTCTGTTCTATGATGTGGAATAGATAAATATGATGGTGGTAGAGGTGGAGCAGACGGAGTATCGAATGTCTACAATAAAACAAAGAGTTTATTAAAAATAGAAAAGAAAAACTTCATACTTTAGCTGAAGATCTAATTATTTGTCGTTGATGTATACGAATAAAATATTTGATTAATATGATAATACCGGTAATGACGAGAAGAACAACAATAGTAGCTATTGCAACAGCTGTATAATGAGAGAAAAAAAAAACCTTTAGAAAATTTGCAACATAAAAACAAAATCAATATACCAATATAGAAATTAAAATTCTTGAACAATTCATATGGTGAATAATTGCCGTCTAAGATAAACAAAAAAACAACAAAAAAGAAAAATAATTTTTTACATCAAAAATTGATTAACTTTACAATTTTGTCGGATAATATTACATGCACGACGATCTTGTATTGTTTGACAAGGTACATAATGAAGCATATTACAAGCTAAATCACATCGTATATCATCTTCTGGCGGGCATGAATAGAGATTATTGATACAAAGCTCTATGTAAAAATCAAGGATTTAAACAAAAGAATAAAATATATAATTAGTTTGAACTTACTACAAAAACGTCCTTCTTCATCAGAACGATCATGACAATCAATAGTACCATCACAAAATTGTGACCAACGTAATGTACGATTACCACCATCACATGTATGACCATTCGATGATATCATGATACTTATCTTTCTCATTCAATACAACATCTGAAGAGTCAACTAATACATACTGATTCTTCCTTTTTTTTTTCTTTCGTCGTCTTTTTTTTCTCTAACACAATTCATCTGTTTTTTTTCTTTTGTCATGATGTAATTGAGATGCTGGGGAAAGAAGAGAAAGAATAAGTCGGAATGATTTCCTCCTTCGTATTCTTTGTTGTTAGACGATTTTTTTTTTCTTTCTTCTTTTTCTCGTTCTCTTTTTATATAAGAATGAGGGTTATTAATATAAGCTATGCTATAGCTATCTGCATACTGCTTTGTTACTGTACAAAAGAGATAATGCTCTTACATACTTGCTGTTCGATGTGACGGTTTTCTTTTTCTTCAAGATCGAGAAAACAAGTTATTGCCATTAACGTATAGACTAGCACACTCGTTTTTCTTTCTCTCATGTAATTAGGATGTATGCCGGCTGTTACACACGTACTATTACTATAACTATCACGGCCATCAATAGACAGCTTGTGTCTATATTTGTATGGCATTGATAATGATGAGTGAACTTCTGTCAAAATGTCATGTTACATTTTTTCTCTCTCTCTCTACTCATATGGCGTCCAATTAGGTTGTTCATCGGCTGGTTTCGATTTCATTTGCTTGAATGAATAAGCCCAACCCCGATCTAAGTTAACAAATATGATAAGCATTCTTCTGTGAATGTCTTAGTCGTCTTCTTTTTTTTCTTGTTGCCCTAATCTGCATGAATAAGAAAAGACAATAGAAGCATCAATTTCTGTTAATTATTTAGGAAAAAAAGATGAACGACAATCACACACACATAGAAAAAAATGAAAGAAGAAATTGATAATACCCATATATATATATATATATTGTTTTTTATAAGCTCTCAGGAGTACACATAAACAAGATTAGATGATGCTCGTCATCACATAGGCCCTATATACATCAATGCCCTTCGATCATAAAACAGCTTAGAGAGAAACAGCAGAAAACACAGTAGATCATCATAGTAGCAAATTTCCTGTGCGTGCATGTGCATTGATGCAATCAAGATGGCGATGAAGAGAGATCAGTAATGCTCTGAGAAAGAAAAGATGATAGCTTCAGGCATTTCTTACCTTCTTATCTATCATATTGAATGAACGGTTATAAATACTTGAAAATCAAGTGACACTCTCTTTACTAGTAACCTATGCACATCAACACCTCACATATAACACCCTACGGAAGAAAGATGAAAGACAAGAATGGCTATTATTCATTTTGTGTCCTTGTGTTAGGAGTGTGCCTTTTTGAATTATCTTTTTTTTTCTTTTTTTTTGCTTTTTTTTTACCCTCTTCTCGGTCGACTGTCTCTTTTCTTTTATCGTATAGATATAAATGAGTGTGTGTGTTCGCTGCCATCGTTGACAAAAGAATACGGCGCTGTCGACATGCTTGCTCTTGTTGAATAAAAAGCAAAACAACACGAAAAGAATTTTAGAGTAGCAATTCTAATGCTTGTACTAAAATCCCGTTTTCCGTTCTGTCAACGTCGTTGATAATAGATGAAAAGAATTGTTACAATCGCTATTACTCAAATAGAACGGTGTACCCGACTATATAATTAAACATATGTATTTACTACTATTCTAAACACACTAGTCGTTTCCGTATTTGAAAAAAAAAAGTCATTGATTATGTGTCAAGTCAAATCAAATATGCATTTTGATTATTTTCATTGTCAAGCCAATGTAAAAATTCATATTGATTGCTATTTAACCATGTAAAAATTAACGATTGAAATTCAAGAAACATAGGATGAGAACTAAAATTTCCTTGTATAGTACTTGTATGAAATAAAAAATCGATAAGTTCATCATTATTTGTTGGCCATTGTTCATTATCAATTGTTTTTAGTTGTTCAAAATTTTTGATTGATGAATACGTAAGAATATTTCGATAACATGGCCATTTAAATGGTGATGGTGGACATAAATTATTTAAATAAAAATCAATCTGTTCCGTTGTTTGAATCGCACAAGATAAACCAGTTATAATCGATGATGGAATAAGTTGATATTGAAATTTTTGTTGGATGAAATGAATTAGATCATACCAATATTTATCATTGTGTTGCCGAACTGTTTGACAAATAATATTCATAATTATTCGATCAGGATATATAAATAATGATGGTATTTGAAGTTGATTAAAACTTGTTAACATATCAGTTTGATTTTGATAAATTAATGATTTTGTTGAAGACGAATCTAAACTGAATCGTCGATTATTAAAAATAAATTGTATAAGTATTTGTGGATCATTTCTATTTGATATTTGTTGTAAACAAATTGAATGATTAATTGAACAACATAATTCTAAAAGAATATCATTTATAAGTTGTTGATTAGAATATTTTATATCAATTAATATTTGTCGTGTCCATAATTGATTTACACACAATGGATTAAGAATTTTTCGAAGAAAACTAAGAAATTTTTCTTCAAGTGAATTTGATAACATTGATCGATACCATTTAAGAATTTTATTCATAATAAATAAATCAGCTTTTGTTAATGTTTGTTGAAAAGCTAAATTTATTAATTGTAATGAATATTTAATAGATATTTTATTAGCAAGATTGAATAAAAAACTATCGAATAGAAGTTTAGAAAATATATTTAATTGTTGATGATGAAAGTTTTTTATTTCATCAAGTAGATGATTCCATGATGGATAAAAAATATGTATAAATGGATTGAATGGAATTAAAATTGATGAAGAATTTGGTACAAATTCAAAAGAATTTATTGATAAAGAAGAAGAATCATTTAGAAGATGACAAATTATTGGATGAATCGATGGAATAAATGATGAACAATTTGAATTAAATTTAAATAGATACATATCAATTGTTGATGAATTATAGAAAACAATTGGATGACCAGAAAGTTTTGACCAAATAGAATATGAAGATGAATTAGTAAAGAAAATTGATAATAAAATTGATTGATTTAGAAAAAAAGTATTGGAATGTTGAATTAATTGTTGAATTCGTGCATAAAATTGAATATCACCAATATATAATCGATATTCAGTTAAAAATGCTTCACCTTTTTCGATTAAAATATTTTCAAATCTAGACATATACATATATGATATAAATTGTTCTGATACATATATAATATAAAATGAATCTATATTTTTGTGTATGTTTTTTTGTTAGAAACGTCAAGAAATGACACAAAAATAAGTTGAACTTGATAGACAATAAACGAAGGATTTCATATATAGTCTAATATTATAGTTGAATGCAATAATTAGTAAAGATTACGTGTAATTATGAAAAAAAATCCGGCTCTATTACTTTACAAACGGGAAAAAGAGTGATAATTTGAGAATGCTTTTTTTTGTTACGAGAGAAAAGAAAATCTCTAAAATTCTATATGCAATAGTAAAATGAGTTTCAATCAATAATTAAAATATTAAAAATCTTTCAATTATATAATTAAGATCTCTTACTTTAGATCATTTGATTCTTCAATAAATGTAGCATTACACAATGAATCACGCACAACAGTAGACATAAATCGTTCAATTTGTGAATTATTATTACCAACTGTATCATAGGTTTTATGGAATAAATGATTGGCAATACTTCTTGCTAAACTTTGACCAAACCATTTTGTATTTTTATCGAATTGCATTAATATATCAATCCATTGATAAGCTACTATTAAAAAAATTAATTCACTTTGTTTAATAACTTGTTCAGCTGATGTATTAATTAATAAAGCATTTTGATCAATAAATACTAAACCAGGTTTGGAAATAATTCGATCATTTAATTCTAAAACAGTAACTAATGTAAGTTTATTTAATAGAAATCTTTGTGCAAAATATGATTCAAATATTTGTATTGTATTTAAAGTATAATTAAAAATATGAGAAAATAAATCAATTTCATATAATGAATGATTTGGAAAACATAATTGAAGTATATCAACGGATCGACATTCATATTGATTTAATAAAGCAAAAGCAATTTGTGAAGTTTCAAATAATGAACTTATTTGATTAAGAGGTAGATTAGAAATAATATAATCAGCACTAATTATATTTATATTAAATGTTGATCGATAATATGAATGAGAAAAATAAGGAAATAAATCATTATTAGTAAATAAAATACGATATTTTGATGACCATATTTGATGAATAAAATTTGATTTTTTTGTATTTAATATACTTATACGAGTACTCATTGATATTGTATAATTTCCTGAATAAAAAATATTTTTCCATTGACGTTTTTTTTCTATTATTATTTGATTATTTATAATTTGAATTTCAATTGGTATTGAATTTTCTTTATGATAAAGAATAATAGAAGATATTTCAATTGTATGATCATTTGATTTAATAATTAATAATTGATAACGATTTTGTGTAAGTTGAAAAACAATTTTCATATGACAAATCAAATAATCTACATGATCAATAAATTCAAGGTGATAATGTTGAGGAATAATATCATCTTGAAAGTCATCTATATTAAATTCAATAGGATTATAGAATAAGCTTACAAATATCATCAAACTCAATGTAAATCCAACAAGAATAAGTAAAATAATAAGAATTTTCATATCTCGATTCAACATGATATTTGTATTGTATTTGTTTACTCATTATGAAAATAAATTGTAGTTTATATATATAGAGAGATTTATCCAAATTTGCGAGCATAGTTTAATTTATTTTTCGTTTTTTTTTCAAGATAATATTCATACAAGAAAAAAACAAATAGGTAAGATAAAGTACTATGTTAAATTAATTAAGAAGATTGATTTGACAGTAACAGCAAAAAAAGAAAAAGAAAACGGATTGTAGTTAATTGTGTAAATCAAACCTACGTGTTGTTATTGTTTTGAAAATAAACTTTGTTATGTATTCATTTATTTATTTTTATTCTTTATCTCGGTCATAATGTGACAAAGCACTATACGACAAGGAAAGGATTATCAGTGAATCAATATTCTTCTAAATTAAATATCAACGAAAGATCCACACATATATTCACATTCGTCCCTCATCTTTGTCCTCTGATTATACTTATTATCAAGAAATGGAAAAAAACATAAAAATAGGCAACAAGAAGATTACTATATCGCCCACATCGTCTGACTAAAATCCAACCGCAACAAAAAACGTGAAGATAAGGATGATCTTTGCATGGTGTTAAACTTAAAGTATACAACTACGTGCACACACATGACTAACCTCACTACCACGCATTCATCTTAACTGAGAAACTCATAGCTTTCTTGTGCTTTAAAAAGGGATGTGTTTCTTCGATTTTTTTACTCATTGTATTATCGTTTCATTTTTCGAATATACGAAAACGAACAATGCTATTCTTACATCGATATATTATTCTCTGTATACTTGCTACATTATTCATTAGTGTTATTGGTCAACGTAAGTTAATATAAAAGCATATATTATTAGAGAGAAATAAATTGTTTCTTTTTTTTTTCTTATTTTGTAGAAGCATGTCAAGATTTCTCAGCTGATGAAGGAAACTGTGCAAAATTTATTCGATGTTTTCAAAACTTACGTATTCGATTTACATGTGCTCCTGGTACAGCATGGGAAAATTCACTTAAAACATGTGTATGGATAGAACAAGTTGAAGCATGTAAAAAAGTTAAACAACAACGTAAACTCGGTAATTATTTTCTTCTATTTTTTTGCAATAACTAATATTCAAAAAATAAAATAAAATAGATGCAACTAATGACATGATTACATATGACGCTGATGTAAATGCTCTTAATGATATTCCTGTTGGTCAAACATTAGCTGAAGCACGAGCACTTGGACCAATGGTTACACCAAAACAATATCGATGTTCATTTTGCAATACTGGTCTTTGCGGTATTGTTGTTAATACCATTCAATGTTTCTGTGGTAATGTTCAATGTCCACCATCAACGACAACAACAGGTATGAATATGTATTTTCATTTGAGAAAAAAAAACCAAATCTGTTAATTTTCATGTTTAGTTACACCACGAAATCCTTGTGCTGATAATCCTTGTAAGTAATTAACATTATCATGTTTCTAAATAAAACAAAAAAGAATCTTCATTAGGTTACAATGGTGGTCAATGTGTTCCATTAGGAGGCGGATTTATTTGTAACTGTCCAGAAACATTTACTGGTAATCGTTGTGAAGCACCAGGTGTGTTATTGAAGCATTTGTTTTTTTATTATTTATCTCTTGCAATATTTCTTTATTAGCTCCTACACCTTGTCAACCAAACCCCTGCCAAAACGGGGGTACTTGTGTACCACAAGGTACATCATTTTTTTGTCAATGTCCATCAACATTTAATGGTTTTTGTTGTGAAAATCGTATAACTACAACAACACCATTTAATCCATGTGCTCAACAACCTTGTCAAAATGGTGGTCAATGCATGCCAGCAGGCAATTGTAAGTTTATTCTTTATTTATAGATAAAAAAAAAATAAGAATTTCTTTATTTTTTGTCTTTTGTTTTTACAGCATATGTTTGTCAATGTCCAAATGGTTATTATGGTACACGATGTGAATGCCGTAATTATTGTATACCTAATCCATGTGCTAATAACGGTATTTGCACTCAAACGACAACTGGTTACATCTGCTCATGTACATTTCCATACACTGGCACTAATTGTCAACAAAGTAAGTTACTGTTACAGATGTTTTTATTCATTTATTGTGGTTTTTTTTGTCTTTTAGTTATTACCACAACAACAACAACAACAACAACTACAACAACACCCGCAACACGTGCACCGTGTGGTGGTGGTTGTGCATGTGTTTTTACACCATGTCCAATTGTTGTTGTAACAAATCCATGTGTACCAAATCCATGGTTTGTATCCTTTTATAATTGAATTGAAATGGATTCTCTATATGTTGTTTTCTTTAATGTATAGTCAAAATATGGGTGGATGTGCTGTTCAATATAGAGCAGCAAGATGTTATTGTCCAGATGGTTATCAAGGATATTATTGTCAATTTAGTATGTTTAAAGAAAAAGAAAAGAATCAAAATATATTTATTACTGGAAATATTTAGGACATAGTGCTCGATCATTAATGTCGAAAACATGTAATATGACATGTTTTAATGGTGGTCAATGTTATATAGATGAACAACAAGGTGGTCGAGCTCAATGTTCATGCCCAAATGAATATTATGGACCAAGATGCGAATATAGTAATACTACTTTTTTTTCTTTCATTTTGAAATTTAATATGACTTTGTTGTTTTAACTAGTTAATCGACCAAAATCATGTTCACCAAAAAATCCATGTATGAATAATGGTAAATGTGTAACAACAAGTGCTGGTTCACAATGTGTTTGTAAATCGGGTACATCCGGTGTTTTATGTGAACGAAGTAAGTTTTTATTTTATTTTTTTCATTGAATAATTTCATAAGCAAATTTTAATTATATTATTATTATTTATTTTAAGTTGAACGATCTCTTAAGGAAAAATATTGTCCACTTAATTGTCAAGCTGATGGTATATGTGTTTATGTTGGTTCGACACCAAAATGTCATTGTAAACATGGTCGAACTGGTCATTTATGTGAAATACGTATGCATTTCATTAAATTCTTTCTTTTTTCTCTTTTTTTTATTTGAATTTATTTTAGACTCTGGTTAATCATTATTATCAATAGACAAATCATGATGACATTGAAATATTATAATTCAGGAAATTTCATAAACATTTTTTTTGCGTATATTTATGTTAATTTTTTTTTTTTTGACAAATATAGTTTGATTTTTTTTTGACATGAAATAAGCGAGTCAATAGATCAAAGAGGATTTTTTTTTTGTCTTTATGTACAAATGGCTTTTATTTTTAGTTTTATTATTCAAATATACTATATTCATATTTGCGTATATTTATCAAGAAAAGAAAAATTGTATCTCTCAAGAATGTCATGTTGTTTTTTGTCTCAACCAAATGTTTTTCTCTTCATTTGTGTACAAACATTTTAGGTAATATGGGAATAAGTTTGGCCTTGAATGTTGAAAATAAAAGAAAAACAAGAGGTTTAATTTTTGTTCTAGCTGAGAACAAATATAACCACCGCTGGCAACGGAATTGTGGTAGTTGCTCTTACTGTAGCTTGTTTAACGCATAAATATTTACACAACCCAACTTGATAAAATAAAAAAGTTTGTTTTTGTGCATTATGTATTTCTTTTCTAGAGCCCTTCATAACGTCCCTTCATCATCATCAATCACTGAGACAAGCATCTGGAACATCATCAGGTCCCTATATGTCAATCTATTTGCCAACCCGAACAACCGATGTTATTTTACAAATGCAACGTAATGTGTATAGGATTATTGCTTGCGGCTACATGCATCAATAATATTTTGATGATTCTTATATGAAAAGTATACTTATTTCAATTTGGAAAACATCTTCATTAATTAGTTGTCAAGTCTATGTTGAAATAAACGTTTTTAGTTTTTTTTCTCGTACATGCCAATCATAGATCATAAGGACAGAAACAGAAGAAATGATGATAAGTTGCTCCTACTGATGTCTGTCTACTCATAGTAATAATCACAAGAAAAAAGAAAGAAATAGGAAAAGAAAAGTATAGAAGAATCTATCATTGCTGATACTGTACAGATGGATTTATTTATCTGTTTCATGCATATGAGAGACAGTTCTACTGATGTAGTAAATGAGGAAGAGACAGAAACAGAATACTAGGAAAATAGTACAATATATATATGTATAGTGGGTATAACCTCAACTATCGATGCTTTTGGGCAAATAACATACGTACTTGCTATTCTTATTATTATCACTCGATGCACAGTTATTGATTCCGGAAGAAGTAAGTCAACGACTGAAAGAGAGAGAAAAAAGAAAGCAGTCATTCTTTTCATCAGTACTTAACAAATGATTGATTTTGTACGATTAGTTTGTTGATAAAAGTGAACGAGAAAAAAGACAAAACAAAGAATCTTCTAATATTTAATTATACAAAGAAAAAAAAAAGAATGGATCTTCTTAATGCTTTTCATCGTATACCTCAAATAAGTTATTTTGGTGTTCGACGTGATGATGATTTTGCTGATCGTTTAAATTATAAGTATACTGTTGGCTTATTAATATTTTTTTCAATTGTTGTTGCTAGTAAACAATTTTCAAATGATCATATTCAATGGTATGAATTTTAAAAGATAAACACATTGATTTATTGAAGAACACAAAGAATTTTTTGTTTTTTAGTTGGGTACCAGCTATATTTACACGAAATTATGAAATTTATGTATCTAATTATTGTTGGATTCATAATGTAAGAAAAAGAACTTGTTTTTTTTTTTTAGTAAAAATCTATAGAAATTTCTCTTAGACTTATCATATCAACATAACTGAACCAAGTAAACAACGAGCTGATGAAAAACGTTATGTATTACGATATTATCAATTTGTTCCATTTATTTTACTTATACAAGCTTTATTATATTTACTTCCACGTTTATGTTGGCGTTCACTTAGTCGTCATTCAGGTATTGATATAAAAAATATAATGGATGCAGCACATAATCTTAAAACTGTAAAACGTTTTCATAAACATAAATCTATTATGGGTTATCTTGTTTCAATAATACATCAATATGTTGGTGATCCAAGAAAAAAATTAAAACAAGAACATAGTCGCATTAGTATTTATATACAAGGTTTATTTCATTGTATAATTGGTGCAACAAATAACTTTAATGCATATTTATTTTTGCTTTATTTATTTATTAAATTATTATATATTATAAATACACTGGTTCAATTATATGCTATACGTCTTTTACTTGAACAACGATGGACTGTTAATGAAACAATAAAAGGTTTTCGTCAAATATTTACATTGAATATTTTACGTACAAATCCATTATCAAAATATTTTCCAAAAATTAGTATGTGTGATTTTCGTATTATAGAACCGAATAGCGATGATGGACATAAATATACAGTTCAATGTAAGTTATTAAACATGAAATACTCAAAAAACGATTGAAATAGAAAGTAAAAAAAAGGGGATGCTGAATATAAGAATAACAGTAAATAGTTATTCTAGCTATATGAATTGTATTGTTTAATCGTTAGTAGAAAAAAAAAAGAATGGCTGTAATGGTCTCTTGAGCTAAGATTTAGTCTGATTGGTGGAAAGACGTGTCGATAAGATTAAGAAACCTCTGAAGAGTATGTACAGATAGACAATCGTCTAAACAGAAACCATTAAGGTTACTTTATTGCATTTCTCTATTCATAGATATGATGTTTCACAAATGAGCTGAACAGGTTGGACTTGGAATTTTCTTTTCGAGAGAACTCATCCGTCTGCTAATCTCCGTTTCTTCTTGAGTGTTATGATCATTGTACGGAATTTTCAATCTATCGCAGGATAGTACGAGGAAAACTGAAGTATGGAATTTTTGTATGAAATGTTATCAGAAAATAGATCTTATGGGTCTTATTATATTCTGTAATTTTCAGCAAAAATGGATGCTTCTATATCAAGATAATAGATTTTCAAAACCACTGGTTCCTCGTGGATGACTCCTGTGAGTCGAATTTTTTTTTTTGTTTTTTGAGTATACAATATCTTGAGAAGAAACGATCTGTTTTTCCTGACACTTTCGAAATATTATAAAAAATCATGACATCTATTTCCGAGTAAAATTTTAGATTACTATTCTTCGATACGATTTTGCTCGTAATATCTTGTGATAGACTGAAAACTCAGTAAAATATTCATAACTCCAAAAAAGAAATGCCAGTGGCACATATCGTTTTAGGACTTTTATCTACATCATGAACTCGAACGGAAGTTATCAGTTGAAAAAGTATTCTCATTAGTTGATAGATAAAAATTATTTTTAGATTATGTTTTCGTAAAAAACCACTTATCTTTATAAATATTAATTTTCTCTAGAGCGATTAATTCTTACTACGAGTTAAAAATTTCAGGATATTCTTTTTGTTTTTGAATATCTTACTTTATCTGAAAGAGTAACTTTTCACTGATAGAACATTAGTTTATTTCTTTCTTTTTAATGTCCTTTTAAGACTGTCGAATTCAATTTTTATTCATAATAGGAATGACATAATTCGCTATGTCGTTGAATACATCTCTATCATTAACCTACTTAATAGCCCTCTATAAAACATTATGTCTAAGACAATTTTCACATTTCTACACTAAAATCAAAATCTTTCTGCATTGTACTGTAACCTTTTTTTTTGCTAAGACGTCTTTTATAAATATACTCTAGATAAGCTCTTCATTTTTTTTCATAAAAAATGTAAATCATATTTGTTTTTGTATTAGGTGTATTAACAATAAATATATATAATGAACAAATCTTTACTGTATTGTATATTTGGATGAATATTGTTCTTTTAGTGACTATTTATAATTTTATATCATGGTTAATATTTTTATTATTTCCACGACTTCGTTATTCATTTTTTACACAACGTATACATACACAACAAAGTATAACAACATTACGTACGAGTATGAGTGCATTTGTCTATAAGTATTTACAACATGATGGATTTTTTATTTTACGTCTTATCTATTCAAATATTGGTGATGATGTTACAACAAATATTTTAACAAATTTATGGAGAAATTTTCATCGACCTGATAAATCTACATTACTTGATAATTCAATTGGTGCTACAATATCATTAACAGCTACTGGTAATCGAGGTTTATATATGAGAAGTAATGGTCAGAGTGGTTCGTTATTTGACTATTCAAAAACTAGTACAAATCTTTAACGATTTGTATTGTATACTCTTTTTTTTAGATATAATAAAAAAAATGATGTATATGTTATACAATGATTAATGATTGTATGTGTCTGCTATATGTAATAAATTAACTCTCTATAGGGAAATCTATGGGAATAAACCATTTGCCCGAAAAATAGGAAATCAAAGATAATATGATAATGTAAAGATTGACAAAGAGGTTTTCTTATAAACGTTTTCAATTGACTTTGTACTAATATTAATTAACAATTAAATGATTTATTCGTGATTTTTTTTTTCACGAGGATAAGACGAACTCCTTTTCTTGATCTAATCAAATCTTATTCGATTCTAATATGTTTTATTAGTCTTAAAATATATATGTAAAATACAGAAGAAAATGATTATAGAGAAATATTTGATGGTATTTTCATTGGTTCATTTGAATAAACAATTTCTCTTGTTATATCCATCATAAGTAATTCACGTGCATAACCACGTACAATAAATTCTCGAAATTCATTATAATCTAATTTACCATTATAATCCCAATCAACTTTATCAATATAATATCTTATACGTTCTCGACTAACAGATTTACCAATAATACGCATCAATGTTTCAAGTTCATCAGCTTGAATATAATGATCACCATTTTTATCAAATGCACAAAATGCTAACCATATTGAATAATCATCATGTCGATCAGTTTCACCACCGGTTATAACCGGTATAAGAATATCGCAAAATTGATCAAATGTTAATTCTTCTCCATAGAGACCTGTAAAACAAAAAAAAAATCATTTTATTTATGTTGATAATTAATAAGTTTACCTCTTGGCAATACAAGAGATTTCATTTGATCATATTGTTGTTTTGTTAGTCCTAATTTATACTGATGACCATGATATTTATCTTGATCTCGATTTTCACGCTCGAACCAATCATATATTACTAGAACAAATCAAAGAAAATGTCTTTATTTATGATGATCACTACCAGTGCTCAATTAGTCTGATAATGATGATCTCACAAGGACAATCATGTGTACATAAGTGTTGAATTTTGATCTGATTTCTATGATTTAAACTACGAAATTCTATATATACAAACCTTTGACAAGTTCTCCATTAACCTTCTTTGTATATTTACCGTATCGTCTAGAACATGTATAATATAATAGAATATTGATTCGATATTTATTTCAATTTTTGTTTTCTGTCACCTGATAACATTCTCGTGGATCGGTAGATGTATAAGGTTCTCCATTGAATTAAGTTCCATGATTATATACTTTCTTATTATTTATATATTTATAAACAACAGTTATTCCGTTGGATGTATATGCGTAAACTGGATGAGTGGGCAACAGAACAAGCAAGGCGTGGTTGCCTGCAGCTGCCACGGATTCTAAATGAATAATGTAAGCGAGACATAGAAAAAGAGAGAAAGACCTTTTTTATCTGCGCTCTATACTCTTCGTTGTCGGTCGGCTTTCTTTTTTTTTTTGCGTCACCAATTGGAGCGAAAGAAACAGAAAAATAAACGACATACGAAGAGTGACAAGCACAGACGTACAAATTCTTTGTTCTTTAATTTCCCGTTGGATTAATCATGGAAATAAGTTGACCTATTTAACCTTGATCAACGAAAAAAAATGTATCGAATAGAAATCATATTTTGCGAAAAATGAAGAAAAAAAAAGATTAAAAGTTTTCAAATTGTTTATTTTCTTTACCAATGATGGCAACAAAATCGATTGAGAATAACTTTATTTTAATCCTATAAATATATACCAAATAATATTCATCAACAAGAAATGTATATTCTCCAGTAATGATAAGCGAAATATGATTCTTGATATTAACCTCAGGAAAAAAATGCTTGGACTTTTTATTACATCATTCATGATTATATGATCACATCTGTATTGAGAACTATTTAATATAAATTATGATTTTGTTGTGAGACTTTTTTATTTATTTATAACAATGCATCATTTTAAAAATAAAAAAAAAAACAAGCTATTTTCAAACAAGTGTTTCGAAGATTGTTTTTGTTGGTACAAATGAATCATCTGCAGATAAATTTGAACTAATACCCGATTCACTAGATGAATGTGGAATATTTTTATTGATTATATTTAATGATGATCTATAAACAAAAGAAAAAAAATTTAATGTTTTTTTTTTTCTTTTTGGCTAAAAAAATTTATTCACCGTTTTGACTTTGAAGATACTTTAATATTATTTTCTTGTTGTTGATGAATATGTTTTTGAAAATTTTCTTTTATTTTTTCTAAATGTTTTTCACATGGCTTTGATATTGTTTCAATAATATTATTTCGAATTGTTTCATCGGATAAACATTGTCGTTGAATAATATTTTGTATAAGAATTTCATCAGCAAATCGAACATGTTTTTTAACTTTTTTTAAACGTATTTCAAATAATAAACGTCGTGAATATTGTTTTTGATTAATTTTTGCAATAACTTTATAAATACATGCTGAATCCTTTAAAAGTTTTTTCTTACAATCAGTATAAATATAAAGTAAATAATTGTTTGAATCACATGTTGGTAAAATTAATCGAATAACATCTCGAGCAGTCGTATGATTGTTTAAATTACTAATCCATTTAATTACTTTTTCATTATTCCCTGTCAATGACATATAACGAACAGGTATTTCACTTATAAACATTGCATTTGATAAATGACCTTGAAAGGATAAAAAATATTTTGATATTATGTCTTGAGATAGATAACATTTATATGACAAGACAATTATAATAATTAATAATAAAGGAAAACAAAATTTTGATTATCAAGTCATTCATCAACACATGATAAAAAGAAAATATGGAACGTAATCAGTAAGGATATCTTTCATCAGTCTTAGAATATTCTTGTTTTGTCCGAACGACACTTAACGGTATTCTCCGGGTTTTGTTTTTGAAAATTTTTTCATAGGCATATTAGTTTATTATACTCAAAATTAATACTGATGAATAAAAGATTATATGCGATAGGTAAGCTCTGAAGGAGATCCTTACTCTACACTCGAATGAAAAAACTTTTTATTTTTAATATTTAAAACACATGGTACATCACTTGATGCACTACTTGACGCTAATTCCAAATATGTCTTGATTTTTCTCTCAAAGTAATTTTGTAACAAAAAAATCGCGAAAAAACCTGTCTCTTAGTCTAGACATATTTGCAGATCGTTGTGCTAATTGAGTGTATGCCCCTAATATAGAAGAACATTCTCAGAAAATTTCATCGATATCATATTAGTAGACAAAAGTAGCGACTAGCTGTATTAAAGACGTCTTTTCGGAAAATGCTTAGCATCAAAAGAAGAATAATTTTTTCCGAACAAAAACTTTTCTTATAAATTAATAGGGTATAAGGTCTAGTTTCACATTACATATGATTTATTGTCCAACGCTTAAACAGTTCACTTTTATTTTTTCACTTGATATGTACATTGTCGTCTCCTGTGTGATGACCTTGGGACATCCTTAGCAATTATAGAGAATTCTCCATATATATATTTCCCTAACTGAATTATTCGATTCAGAGAACCCGCTATTGAGTTTTTTTTTTTCTTACACTTACTTTCCATATTGATGAAGACAGTGAACTAATATTATTGATTGAACATACGCTTGATATATATATACGAAATCGGTTGAATGAACGCGTAATTGGATTACATTTGCACTATATCGCACATAATCATATGATTGCTAGTTTATTTTCTCTCTATCTTTCTCTATTTCTTGTCAATTTTTATTGTTTTATGTTAACAATGATTAATAAATTGATTTATCTTTAATTGTTACTGCTGGTGTATGAGATTTCTATAGTGAGAAAAAATTCATTTTCTAGAAAAGAACACGAAAAAAAAGAAGAAACGAAGTACCAGGTTGAAATATAAAAAACAAAAAAGAAAAAACGATAATGATGACATTCGATTAAATGTTATCTATTGAAAATTGAAAATCAATCGAAATAAGTGAGCAACACATCATCAAAGTGAATTTGCCTCAAACAAAAATAAGGTATAAATATAATATACGCTTAGGTGTTTAACACACATTTAAACGATTGAAGATCAAAGAGAATTGAATGAACTTTTTTTTTCTCGATTTGTTTAAATTGAAGGGGAAAAAAGTAATGAAAATATAGTATTTTGCATGTATTCAAATATAATGAAAACAAAAATCATATTTGTTGTTATTTTATTGACTAAATGAATCGGAAGTAAACTCTGTACGTAATATAATGAATATTTGAGATATTTTATTTGATAGATAGAAAATTGAAGATGTGTATGAAATAGCAATCATGTTTTATTATGAGTTTGATGTCAACTGATAAATGAAAAAGAGAAAACTTTAAGCTGATTTAGATTTCAATAGTGTAATATGTTCATGTTTGTGTTAAAGGAAGATATGGGAAATATCACGCTTGTTTAAATCGATAAATCTCTTATATAACCTGTTCTTTTTTTTTAAGAGTATTAGATGTTTCTCATCGAATGGAACGTGCCAAGATTAAAAAATCTGATGTCATTGACAGAAATCGAGAGGAAAGAATCGAGTTTTTTTTTTGTCCTTTGTAATGAAATATGGTGATTTATTTAAATGATTTTGTCCATGAGAATTACATGATGATTGAAGAATGTGGTTTATTTGAAAATAAGACAATATATTTTTTAATAATATGCATTAAACTTCTTTTTGGTCGAAATGAATATGTAAAACAATAGAAACTTTGATCAAATTAACAACTGATGTAAGATTAATAAAAACATCTTATCTCAATTCTGAAATAGAGAAGTTTCTTTTTTCCGTTCGTTTGTACTTTCGTTTCTAAGAAACATATAAGTCTAGTCCAAATGAACAATATCGAATGTTTTGTATGTATATAATCTCGATAAGATCAAATAAAACGTTTTCATTCTGTTTACAATCATGTCGCACGCATTACGTCTTTTTGTATATGTACTGACTTTTATCATTTGTATAAATCATGTTTATTCAATAATTGATTATATTGAAGCAAAATATCCATTAAGAGTAAGTTTAATATTTTTTCATAATCAAGAAATTTTATTGTATTTATGAATTAATAAATATACACAAGAAATAATAAAATATATGAATTATTTAAACAAATAAAGATGTTAGAGGATAAAGAATTCAATTCATTGATTAAACAAACTTGTTTTTTAAGTTAATTTGTGATAATAATTTGATATGTATTACGATTTGATTTTAGGGTAAACCGTCAGCACCAAATGCACCATGGCCACAACCTCAATATTTAAATGCTAGTTCGGACTATATTTATATTGATCCAGAATTTTTTATTGTCTATTCAAATCTAAGAAATTGTGATATTATTGATAAAGCTATTGAACGTTATAAACCAATATTTTTTCCACCAAAATTATCAATTCAAACTCCACATAGATTTGATGAAAGTCGAATTCTTCTATCAGTTTTTATTCTTGTACAATCAAAAAAATGTCAAGTGTATCCACAACTTCGTGATAATCAATCTTGTAAGTAATTTTTCCTTCTTTCGACATTTTTTTCATTGTAATAAATCGAATTATTAATGTAGATAGACTTACAATTGAAAATTCGTATGGAATTATTTTCGCTGAAAATGTTTGGGGTGCACTTAATGGTCTTGAAACATTTTCACAATTGCTTTTTATTAATGAAGATAATTATGTAAGAAGTTTGTCGATTAACAAAATTAAATAAATATTTGAATTTGTTTTTTTTTTAGTTAGTAACAAATGCTTCAATATATATTTATGATTGGCCTCGTTTTCCATATCGTGGTATTCTTTTGGATACAGCTCGTCATTTTCTACCTGTTCCAATAATTAAACAACATTTAGTATTTAAATTTCATCATAATCATATAGTCAAATCTAGATATATTTTCTCTATAGGATGCAATGGTTTACAATAAATTTAATGTTTTACATTGGCATATAACTGATGATCAATCATGGCCATTTGTTTCACGAAAATTTCCACAATTAGCTGAAAAAGTTTAACATAATTTTTGTTTTTTGAATATTTTCATATATATATATATATATTTAGGGTGCATTTTCATCTGCTCATGTTTATACACCTGATGATGTTCAAGATATTATTGAACATGCACGTATTCGTGGCATTCGTATTATACCTGAATTTGACACACCAGGTCATGTTGCTGCTCTTGGACGTGCATTTCCTGGTTTGTATTCATATTGTAGAATTTGCTTAATTATTTTACAGCTACTATAGAATTTTTAACTGATTGTTATAATGGTTCGATACCATGTCAAGCTATTTATGGTGTACATGCTGAACGAGAAATACTTGACCCAACAAAAAAGGAAGTTTATAGATTTATGAATGAATTTTTAAAAGAAGTAAAATATACTTTTAAATATGAATCATATATACATCTTGGTATGGATGAAGTTTATCCAGCTTGTTGGTAGGATATTTTAATAAAATTTTAAAAAAATTTCTTTTGTTTTTTCAATACATTGAAGGATGTCAAATCCTAATATTCAAAAATTTCTAAAAGAAAATGATATGTTTAATGGAACAGATCTAATGACTTATTATTCAAGACAAATTCTTAAATTAATGAAATTAATTGGTGGTAAATCAATGGTATGGCAAGATGTATGGGATGATGGTGTTAAATTACCATCTGATACTGTTATTGAAATATGGAAAGATACTTCACTTCTGTCTGATAGTCCATCATGGTCTTATTATTTATCAAAAGCTACAAGCGAAGGATATGATGCTGTTCTTGCTGCTCCATTTTATTTAAATATGTAAAGAAATAAAAAAGATTTTTTGTTTTAATAAAATTTAAATGTTTGATTAGGATTAACTATGGTAAATATAATACACCTGAATCGGTAATGAATTTGGAATTTTTTAAATGGTACAATATTGATTTATTTGCAAATTTTACTGGTAGAAAAATAAATTTGTATTTTATAATAATAAACGACAAATATTTATTTTATTTCAAGGTGATAATAGTGCTCGAAAACGATTAATTGGTGGTGAAGCTGCGCTGTGGGCAGAATTTGTTGATGGTACTAATAGTTTATCTCGTCTATGGCCTCGTGTATCAGCTGTTGCTGAACGATTATGGAGTTCAATTGATGTAAATAATCCAGAAGATGCTCAATTTCGACTTGATGTTCATCGATGTCGAATGCTTAGGTTAGAAAATAATCGATTGATACATAATATGTTCGACAAGAAAAAATTAAACTGAAACAGAACTCGTTGTTAGTTACGGACAACACTACAAAAAAGATTTTCTTTCTTTTAAAAAACGAAACCCTAATTCTAGTTGGCATTAAGAAAACATATGGCGTAATTATTTTGTGAAATTTACATATATTTTCGAAGAAAATAGTGAGTATAAATTTTAAATCAAGGTTTTGTAGTTCTCTGTTATAGGTCTTAGCAAAAGGGATTAAATGACATTGAATATGTTTCAATAGTAACCACAGATATATATCAATCATTTAAACACTGCTTTCAATTGTAGTTACAAGTAAAAATAAGAGATTTTCACAGCAAATAACATCGCTTGCAATTTTAAGATCAAAAAATGAAGCAAACAAAGATATGTGCACTATATAGTAATAATGAGGCAATGCTTTTTTTTTTTATCGTAGTTAGTACTTTAGTAACTATCTATAATTGCTTTGACTGTTGTCGTTTAGATTTTGTTTTTCTTTATCATATTATAAAAGCAATATGAAACCATGATAGTTTAATCAGATCGAAAATGATTTAAAAAAAAAAGAAATTTAGATATATTGTCAATAATGTTGATTATTATTTATAAACAAATAAGCCTTTCATTGTGTAAACCTTTGATTGTTTCACTTCACTTGTCACAAACTCTAAATTTTATCTCTTTACATAAAAAGTTTATACTAGATGATATGCTAGCTTTCATGGGATATGTGAGTTCCACATTTCCACCTCAAAGAGAATGTACGAATAAACTTTTATTTTAAGTTGAAAAAAGTATTCATTTACATTTATTCATAGTGTAATCTATACATCAATGACTTCTTATGTATCGACATTGGAAACTGATATTCAACAGTTTTTTATGACCATGCAAAATAATATGTTAATTTTTGAGTATTAAAGTTCAAGATAAGACGGTTATTATTTTACCCAAGGGTATACATAGACTAAAATAAAATCCTGCATTATTCTTTGCTTGGAACATAACAAAGCTTAATAATGTAACGTATTCATACTTTACAGAGTATTTGTGAAGTACGTTTAGTTCGAAGACAAATGCCTATTGATGAATAATAGTATTCAAAAAGTATAAGCTTGAAAGGTTTTTTCTTTTTTTTTTGTTTTGGTCGAAGCTTTCGAACGTAAACTAGATTTCAATTAAGAACATTAGCAGTCTTCAACCTCGTAAATTTAACTAGACTTCAACCACAGTGAAACAAGTTAACGTATCTACATATAACATGAGTTATTTATTTTCATCTTATTCGATGTTTTTTATTTATAAAACTTTTAAAAACTCTGTTTAATT